GTCGCCGCCAGCAATGTCTGACACCACTGCCGGGCTAGGTGGACCATCAGCTGGTCACACGTGCAGAGAGATGCTTTAGTGCTGTGCCGCTGGAGTTGCTATGGATGGAGTCGCCCTTTGCCTGGCCTTCAGCAATGGTGGGGGCTCCGGGCAGGTGGGGCCAGTGCCCGCCAGGGGAAATGGGCTCCTGGGGCTGGCTCCTGTAGGCAGTTCCCTGGCTATGCTGTAATAGGGCCAAGAAACCTGGGAGGGTCTGCCTCTGCCTATTGGGCAATGAAGTCTTAACAACACTGCTGGGCCAAGTGGGCCATCCGCAGGCTGTGTGCTGCAGAGAGGAACCTTGGGGACTGCGTTGCCAGTGATGGGTTGGAATGTCTGGGATTCCCGAGAGTTCCCAAACTGTTGGGCTGAGGGTGGGCTGGGGAGATATTGTCCACCTGTCCTTTCTCCTGAGCAGCAAGCTCTATGTAACCTTTGCCCTTCCAGCATCCCTCCCACTGCTGGGAAGTTTCAAACTGCCTGCTTTGCTTTTGTTTCAGGGGGGCTGGTAAAGTGTGCCTGTTCTCCACAATTGGCTGGAATCTCAGCCTCCCAGAGTGTTCCACCTGTCTTTGTTGTCCAGCCCCCTTAATCACCAGAGCACCATGTAATGTCGGCTCATGTTCCCAGAGCAGATCCCCAGGGCCAGGTGTTCAGGGATCTGGGGCTTCTACTCCCTCCCTGCTCCATTCCTCTTCCTCCCGTCTGTGGGTTGGGGGTCGGGGGAGGGCTTGGGTCCCACCGGATCTCTGCTTTGCCACTTCACCCTTTTCTGTGAGGGCTTCTCTTCTTCCCCAGATGTAGTCAGTCCTGCAGTCTGCAGATCGTTTTCAGGTTTAGTTGTATTTGCTGTATTTTTGTGTTTTATGTGTTTTCAGAGGAGGTTTCCTCCTTGCCTTTGTCATCTTTTTCCCAGTCTCCTTACACTTCAGTACCTCATTTCCTATCCCCATGTTCAGCCGATAACCTTGCTTCCTATTTCCCGGAGGACACTGAAGCCACCAAGACAACCTTCCCCAAGTTCCCATCACCATTTCTGCTCAGCTGCTTGTATCTATGCCTGTTTACCTTCTCTGTTACTATGAAGAAATGCCTAGGTTCTTTGCAAAGGCCAGTTCCTTAAAACTATTCCCTAGAATTTATCCCCTCTTGCAAACCCCCTGAAATTCTTCCCTCTCTTTCCTGTGTCATTCATTTTTCCCTCTCTGGATCATTCCTGTCAGCATATAAACTTTGTGTTACTTCTCCGTTCTTAGAAAGGTAGGAGAGAAATATCTCCTTCCCTTTTATAGCAGATCATCTTACTTATATTTTGATTCTCTTCTTACCTGAGTCTGGCCTCCTCAGATTTCTCCGTCACTGCTTTGCCAGATTGCCTTTGTCAAATTTACCATCAGCCATGAAATTGCCAAGTCAACTGTGCATTTACCCCACCTGTGTTTGTTTTATTTGTTCCAAAAGCAGCATGTGACAGTTGATCATTCTCTTGTCTTTGAAACACTTCGTCAGTCGGCTTCTGTGTCACCACCATTTCCTGGTTCCTTGCCTTCCTGGCCTTTCTCAGTCATTTTTACTGGATCCTCTTCTTCTTCCTTATCTCCACATGCTGGTGAAAGCCCTCTAAGTAACTGCATTTAGACTCACGACTTAAAATATTTATTGGCTAATAATTCCTAAGTTTACATCTTTAGCCCAGACCTTTTCCTTAACTCCAGATTAGTGTACCTGCCTGCTTACCTGAATGTCTAAAGGCATTGCCAACTTAGTATATCCAGAACCCAGCTCCTGATGTTTGCCAGCCTCACTCCTTGCACCAGCACCTCCGAGAGAATTCTCTATTTCATAAACAGTAACTACATTCTTCTAGTTGCTCAGTCAAACCCTAAGTGTCATTCTTTGTGCCCTCTCTGTACTCCCCACGTCTGGCACCTCAGTGAGTCCTGAGGACCGCCCCTTTTAACAGCTCTGTTCCCACCTTCTTTCTCTGACTGTTCTCCCTGTCTTTGCTCTTGCCCTGTCTGCCATACTGTGTATCAGCACCACACTAATGATCTTTTTTAAGTGATCCTTCAAAGATCAGATTGTGTCACTTATACTTCAGATCATTCAGTTGTTTTCCATCTTACTGAGAGTAAAGGCACCAGAGTTACTGTTGTGACCTTCAAAGGTTTTCATCCTCCTTGAACATTTCCTCTCCCCTCTCCTCCCTCGTTTTCCCAGACTTGCGTCATCTCCCCTCCCCCAGGGGCCTCTGCCTCACCGTCCTGGCTCTTGCTGATCACTCCATGTACAACGTTTTGCCTGCAGATGCCCTCCTGGCCAGCTCCCTCACTTCTTGTGAGGCACCGTGTATACAATGCCAGTCTCTTCCCTAACATTTCACGTCCTCTCTCCATAGTTTATCTCATTCTCCTTTGTACTTGTCTCTAAATCTATTAATAACATTTTACTTACTGAGTTTGCTCTGTGCCCCACTAGGATGTCAGTTCTGGGAGGCCAGGCATTTTTATCATATTTCAGTTAGCTGGAGAGGCAGTTCACAATTAGCCAAATGAAGAATGAATGAGCTAATTTTTATACTAGGAAACTAAAAATGTAAGAAGAACAAGAGAGTCTTTACAGTAAGGAATTACCATCCGATGAAGAGGAAGAGCAGCCACTCGTTAGAGTTCTTTGTGTTTGGGGCGTGCACCATGTTTATGGAACTAGAGATAGACTGGCTAAAAAATCGGGAAATAAAGCTAAGGAAGTTTTTCTGTAACAGGAAATATGAGCCGAGTTTTAAAGAATGTAGAAGAAGACTTTATTAGAAATAAGAGGAAAAGGCATATGAGAAAGAAGAATAGAGACCATCATTTCTTTGACCAGTGAGTGACTCTACTCCTGGAATTGTATTCTGAGGAAAGAACCTAAAATGAATACTGCTAATAAAGCAAACAAAAAATAAACCAAAACACAGTGTTCTTTGCAGTAGTATTTATGCTGTGATTATATTAGAAACATCCTAAATATCCAAGAAAAGGGGGACAAACTATCCACACATGTTAGGGTTTTAAAGACACTGAAATTATGTATTTTCTACTGTTATGTGGGAAAAAATGGATTAAAAAATTATATCCAAAGAGTCATCAGGTAGATGTTGGCTAGACATGACAGCCACACAGCATGCCATGCTAGGAAGAGTAATCTTTTAAATTCTGGGGAGACATCAAAATGTTTAGTAACAATGACATAACTTTTTTTTTTTTAGAAGGACCACTTTGGCTATAAGGAGGAAGCCTTTATTGATTTATAGTGAGTCAATAAGATAGCAACAGTACTGGAAGTTTTAGTTGGAAATACTTTTAGGATATACAGGTGGAGGTATCTGGTTTTAGGGGGCATTGGGTAGAAGCTGTTTACCAACCAGTATGGAAGCATTGCTGCATTTTAATATGTGCTGGCCATACCAGTAGGTGCTGGCTGGCTCTTAGCTGTGGTTATGACAGACCATATGGGTGTTGGCATTTGGGATAAAATTAAATGTGGGGAAGGCATAGTGCCTGATCTAGCTGATATGTACATCCTTCTAGAGGGGATATGTCTATGAAACATCCTGTACATAGTTTATGCTTAAATATTAAGTCAGAATTAAAATTTTTACAATGATAAAAACTGGGGTAAGAGGATAGGAAAGATATAATAAAGTAGTCCTTTAACTAGAACTATAGGTAGGAAGTTGCCAGTTTTAGTCTTAATCCAGGAGTTGGCAAACTTTCTGTAAAGGGACAGATAGTTAATCTTGAGGCTTTGTGGACTAGACTGTCACAACTACTTAGCTCTGCCAGACAAGAACAGTATCCTCTATTAGCCATTATACACTATTGCTGACAGAACAGATGATCAGCATGAAGTACTTGTTAAACATGACCCTCAGAAGATTGTTAAATATACTGTAGCAATGTCAGAGTACAGTAGTTGGATTAATTGTACTTATTAATTAATAATGAATAATGGTATTTCTTTGTAGGTAGACACTATGTACTTAACACCACATTTCTCCTCCCTAAACCCAAAAGAACCAGGGTTTGGGGAGTAAAGCTTAGTGTCTAAGAAAGTAGCATTATCAGTGTCATCTTTCTGTGGATATTCACTACAAACTTGAAAACAGACAGTAAAAGTCAAAATTGGAAGTAGCAGTATTTACACAATTCTGATTAGATTTCTGAGGAAGATTTTATGCTTAAGTAATGCACAGATTTAACAAATCTATACTTTGAACTATGGATTATTGTTAAATGTAATTAGTATACGCCTTTAAAGATACTGGAAACTTCCAAATTTTTAAAAATTTTATTACTATTAAAGGAGTAGAATACATTTTGAAGGCTGTGTGCGTACCTGGGTAGTTGTACTGCTGGACAGCTTTGACATACTGTTTTCTATGTCTGTTGGAAGGAAAATAATGTCTTAAGGTCAAAGAGATGCCTATTTGGAATTCTGTAGATGTCTGTCCTTGATGTCATATGCATTGGGAGTGAGAATTTTTAAATGGAAAAGGGTGAAGAAATGATAGTTTTGAACCAGATATCCCCCAAAGAATCTTACTTTCCCAGTGAGTTTAAGATGTATCAGTCAGTGTGAGAATTGTGCTATTCTTTTCTGAAAGTTCTATTGGCAATGATAAGTTGTCTTATATTTTAGCCTAAAGTAAATGTCAGAACTGATAAGGTCAGTGGACAGTAACTTCAGAAGATGACTAATGCATATATTATGTGCATTTTTTGGAAAGGTGAGGAGGGGAGAGATTTAGTATTTACCTAGCACATAGCCAGAGCATAAAATTTCTTAGTGTTTGACTAAAACATGTGTTACAGTTAGCATTGTGTTCAATAAAATAATTATTTGGAGTTCTGCTTTATTCATTAGTTTTTCTTAAGTAAGAAAATGTAAAAAAAGTATATATATATTTTTTCTCTCAGCTTCCAGAAATGTTACATGGTGATGGTGACAATGAAGAACATGGCTTTTGTCCAGTGGGACAGTTCATTCTTCAGAATTTAGGATTGTTGTTTGGATTTGCCATCATGTTGGTCATCGCCCTCTATGAAGACAAAATTGTGTTTGACCTCCAGTTTTGACCATTCCCAGTAGTCACTGGGGAGTGAGAATGTTACCATGCAGCATTGCGTCTGTTCCTTGTACTGTGTGCACATTGCTCAGAGAAAAGTCAGTGGCTTGTACTGCTTACAAGTTCCATAGATTTGAGCCTAACCACGAGGCTAGTGCTCAGTACTGTTTTCCCTGTGTGAAGGGGTCTTTTAAAAATATAAAGTTGTGATAAAGAAAGGAGAAAATGAGACTCCATGAAGCAATGTTGATATATGTTTGATTAAGACTTTAAAAAAAATAATCATATAAAACACTAACATAGTCTCTTTGGTAATAGAAATGTCTGTGGCTATGCAGAATAGAAACTGAACCAAAAAAAATGACTTTAACTTTAAAAATATTTTAAATGGACTTTGGGCAGACTTTTCTTTGTGCTAAAATGAATTACAGTGTCCTTTAATTCAGCTATACATATATACACGTGGTAAGAGGGATCAACTTGACACAACTTCGAAACTGCATAAAGTAGACTATAGGAACTGTAGGCTGCATTAGGGTATGAATCTAGCATTGGGAAAAGCCCTATTCTTGAACCTAGAGTTACTATTTTTGTATATATTGGCATAGTGTTTAAACTTGCAGCCTAAACTACTGAAATTTGTGACTGTATGTTTGTGAGCTTCAGTTTCATGAAAGATTCATAACGGTTCTTTGTATTAATATTATACTTGGTGTTTGGGGTCTTTTTTTTTTCTTCAAACTTTAATATTGTTTGTGTTTGGGATTTTTGGTGGGGGTAAGGGTTTGGAGCATGTGGTGAAATGTTTTTTCATTAAAATTGTAACCCTCTAGAATATATCAGTTAAATGAAGAACCCAAACATGGTCTAAATATTCATTTTTCCTACTTTAACAGCACCAGCTAGTTAAGTGGGAAATTTAAGTTCTAAATGTATGCATTGTTTTACCAGTTTGGCACTGGAATGTAGAGCACATGCTGTGGCTGCCAGTAAAGTTGTAAGATACAAAATGTAAGTTGACCACATCCATAATCTCCATTGATACCCTGGCTATCATGGTACCAAGTAACTTGGAAGACACACTTATTAAATAGCTCAACTGAAGTCACTTGATCATTTTGTGCCAAGATATGCTGTTGGTGCCCATAGGGATTAGTCTCTTATAGGTGCCCTGTTCTACTACCATAATTATAAATGATTTGTGAGAAGTGCAAGCCATATATCCTGGATCTTGACCTAATAATTTGTACTTGCATGTAGCTTTCTGTTACATCTTGTGCCACATGGTCATTCATGCCAGGTAAATCTCAACTATGTGCAGGCAGCTGTGTTTTAATCTGCCTAGCTACCAATGTAGCTGCTTTACAAATCTTACTGTTCAAGTATTTAAGAGCCAAACTCTTTCCATTCCATTTGAGCTGTTCCCTTTAGCCCTCCCTCCCTTCCTCTTACTCCGTGAACTCTGAGAGCAGCACACACATCCAGGTATTACGAGTACTGCCAGTGTTTCTTCTTCATGCTGTAAGCAAGGGAGCTTTCCTTAACTTATACCTGAACTTGGAGAATTGTTTCTGGCTTTCTTCATGGTCTCCTGTAACAAGTAGGAGTTTTATATGTTATCTTCAGCATTGGGCCCTGAATTAGGACAGTCCTCATCTCATTGCTTGGCCCTTCAAGCAACCTAGCTAAAAAGTGCAAGTATTTTATTTAGTACTGCCAACTTCAAGTGATTCATAATATTTACAGTTCAGTTTGGGGTTTTTATACCCAAGGAAGATTCTGCATTCCAGCATTAAATCTGCTTAATTTTAAAACTTTTCTGAAAAGCAACAGCTGGAATATACTCCCATTCTTAAAATAAAAGCCTGATTTAAAGCGAATAGGTTACGCTGAAATATATGAAAGTTTTATATCCTCTGCTCATTTTTTTTTAAACTTTTAAGAGGGCTGTAACAGTTGCTGCTAGTATTTTGTTAGGGTTCCACCAGTATTTAGTTTTCACATCATTCTAATGTATAGTTTCAAGTCTTACTAGACAATCTGAATTCCACTACATTTCTGTTTGGCTCCAACATTCCAGTTAGCTTGACCAGTCTAATTTAACATGTGTCTGTTGGAGGTCATTAATGTTACTTGTACAATGCTGTCACTGTGTGACATCCATTTGAATTTTGTATATCACATTGCATTCAAACAGCTGTGATTATGCATAGAAATACTGTAGTAACTAGATACAGTGTGAATTTTTCCACTAACAATGAGTCAGTGGCTTAAATATGATTACGGTTCTGCAAGGTGATACTTGCTAAAATATCTAAACTTTTTTTGTTGTAACTGAATCATTTTTCTAAAATTTGTAAAGCTGGAAATGATCAAATTGTTTTTTTCATTGTCAACAGTGGTGTATCATTTTATGTATGTTCCTCATGCGTATGGAACTCTCCCAAAATAAAGTTACTCAAAAAGAACAAATGTGCCAGTGTTCTCCTTAGTTCTTCAGAACCTTTCCTTACTCTGAAATATGGATCATTTTAAATATAGACTGCATTTGCACAAAATACATTTATAATTAAGTATAGCTTTAGTCAAACTGATTTAAGCCAAATAAATTGTTTAAAAAATGAACTATATTTTCTCTCCACCATCAGGAACAGGGGAATGACATCTTCTGTTTATGAATTAAGTTGACATAATAATGCTACACCTCGCCCGATCCAGTGCTCCTTGGGTTCGTCAGACGGAAGAGCCACGGCAATCACAAAATTCGTGGAGTGGCCGGTGGTGGATAAGGTTCCTCTCCGCTCGCTTGTCTTATACAATGGAGCAATGTAACTTGGTCGCTCTGGTATATCTGCCCTTTTACAGGGCTTCAGCCACATCTGGAAGAAAGTGAATAAAACTTACCTCTTCAAGTCAAGGCTGTTATATTTACATATATTTGAATCTAGTATGATAGTGTTAGTTACATCTGCCAATGTCTGTGGCCCAAATAGGTTTTTATTATTGTCAGCAGTGCTGCTATTGCTAAAAACATTTTATTTAGTACTCTTAGAAGTATCTTCATAACCAGTTGAAAAAACTAAATGAGAAAAAATAGTCATTTTCATCCACTCTGTCAAAAAGCATATTCCCCATTTAGTCATCACTTCTCCACCATACTTACCTGGTGATGACTTGGTGTTTACGACACCAAAAATGCCGGATATCCCTTCAAAGGAGAGAACTGGCACCACTGATAGTAAAAGTTATGTTGCCTTATTAAGGCCAATCCCAAAAAATTTGGAAAAGATTTATTAGTGATTGTAGAACTAGATCACCTCCCCATTTTAGGTGACTGTTTTAAAGGGGGGCCATATATAGAGAGCTATTTGTTTAAAACTTAGTTGCATTCCTTTGCAATATACCCACATTATTTAGAGAGTCATTAGCCAAGTTCCTAGACTGTTAAGTATTGATGAACCTCACCAATCTCAAAAATAAGATTTTGGGGCAAGTCGATCTCTGAACATCAGATTAAAGAACAAACTATGACCATAAGGATCAAATAATGTTTTGTTTAAAATCTACTTGATTTAATTAAATTCCTTTTTCCAATAATAATAATAGCAATACTTGAGGTGATATGGCTTCACAGAACAATCAGAACCATCTTGTTTCTCAAAAATCAAAACAAAAATTATATAAAGGAACTAATAGTGATGCTAGTCTCTCCTCCCACTTAATTGTGGAATTCAGATTATTATAAGGGAGACCCATAAGACAGTTTTCAGATTAGTTAAATATAAGGACACCCAACACTCAAGTTCAGTGTATTTCATAAGAACTTTATAAGTGACATCCTTATTCAGGAGAATCATCTGCTTAAAAATTCCTTCTGCTCTTCACTGCAGAACTACTTAAGAGTTTCCTTGTGAAAGAAAAAATATTTAATCACAACTGAAATTGCAAGCTTTCGCCCTTGTGATACTCTACTTTGGATCTGATATTTGAAACTTTCTCTGTCCACAGTATCTTAGCATTACATATTTAATATGTTGCTTTTCTTACATATACCTTAATCCAATAATGTGAAAGTTGCATACTAAAGCATATGGTTAGGGTTCTTGCAGTTGGCTGTCAGCTGGTCCCTCACTGTTAGAGCTCCTCTGAAGGGCTTTTGCTTGTCTTTGAGCTGCTCCCAGTGTACCACCAAAAGTTCATATCAATCTACAGCCTGTCTTTTATCACACCATCCCAGACTGACCCTTCAAATTGTATGAAAATCTATCTAGCCATTTTCTCATGAGACAGTAACTGATGGAAACAGTACGTAGCTTAGTCTGCCCATGCTGAAGATAGGTGCCTAGGAGAAACTTTTCATGTGGATGGTTTTCATAATACCTTTAGTATGCAACTTTCACATTATTGGATTAAGGTATATGTAAGAAAAGCAACATATTAAATATGTAATAATATATATGTGGATACATGTATACTGTCAGCCCTCATTCTTGGATTCTGCATTTGCAAATTTGCCTATTGGTAATATTTATTCATAATCTCCAAGTCAATACTCTGTTTTTGTGGTCGATCACAGGCATGCTCAGAGCTGCTGTGAGAGTCACCAGACAAGTGTGTCCCCAGCTGAGGCTGAGTCGGGTGACACACTGCCTTCCTTTCAGCTCACATAACTGTAAACAAGTAGCCTTTTGGCCATTTATTTAGTGCCACCCCCAAGTTTTTTGCATTTTTTTGGGTGTTGACTTTACTACTTAAAATGCCCTCCAGGTATAGGGCTGAGGTGCTGTCTAGTTAGTGTTCCTAAATGCAAGAAGGCTGCAATGTTCCTTCTGGGGAAAGTAAATATAAGCTTCACTCAGGCAAGAGCTAATGGTGCTGTTCTCCATTAGTTCAGTGTTAATGAATCAACAATGTATATTAAGTTATCTCTAAACACAAAGCAAATTTATGCAGTTAACAAAAATGTAAGCAGATGATCAGAAACTTTGTATTTCTCTAGGAGCAATAGCTCAGTATTCACTAATTAATTCAGTCTTGGCAGCAACTTCATAAAAGAGAATTGCCGTGAATAACAAGAATTGATCGTATGTGTGTGTCTGTGTAAATAGCCACTCATGTACATATACATACATATATATATATATATGTTATTAGAATATACTAACCACAGGCACTGTATCATAAAGAATTTTGGGATGTGATTCTGCAAGTTTCTTGATCTTTCTATTCCAGGAAGCTCCATCCAGAAATAATCCATGAATGAAAACACCTAAATATAAAAGAGGCAGGTTAATACAGCAGCACTTTATATATGCATATTGAGTTCCGAATCTGAAATTCCCACAGGCGAATACCATGCAGGTGATCCTAGATCAGCAGCCTAAACCTTTTTCTAAAACAAAAGCAATGTCCATCCTGAGTGCTTTAACAACCATATTCCAAGAATATGGATGCTTTCCTAGTCAATTAATTCTATAGTAAAATTAGATGTGGGAAGAGAAAAGGAATTTAAGTAGTCTATGAGAAGTCCTCAGGTTAGGTGAACATTATTAGATTTATATTTTTAATTGTAATGTAGTCAAGAGACCATAAAATCTGCAAAAGACGTTCTTAATGTCACTGTAGGGATCCACTGGCTTCCAGGCAGCAAGTGAGCACAATACTGTCAGCATATCTCCAATGTGAGAGTTAAATTTCACCTCACCTTTCAGAATTTATTCTCGTTCTTCGTCCTATAAGAGAACATGTGAGGAGCGCTATCTAGAATGAATGTCAAACAGCTGACAAACACCAATTAGGAAATAAAACCCAGATCAGCTCTCTTGCTATCCACTTGTGCAAAGAATTGGTACAGGTGTCTGCATGTGAAAACACTCACTACACGTGCTGCACAGAAGGGAAGCAATGAGGACCTTGGCCCAAGGTTTTCAGCCCTGATTTGCTGCTTGACATTGAGCAATTTATTTAACTTAAGACTTGTCACCTGAAAAACATTTGTGAATGAATAATGCCTATTTTATTTACCTTGTAGATTTGCTGGAATCGAATCAGCTAACTTGGTGAAAGCACTTTGTAAATTAGTATATAAAAGTCCACTTGGGTGGTGCTCTCCAGTAGGACTTTTTGCAATGATGGAAATTTATATATGTCTATACTTTACAATATGGTAGCTACTGGCTATTAAGTACCTGAAACATGGCTAGGGTGACCATGGGACTGAACTTTGAATTTTATTTTAATTAAACCTAAAAAACTACATGTGGATAGTCCAGTGATGGTGCTGGGGAGAAGACTTAACCCTTTCTCCTCTCTAGGTTCTAACTATAGGAACAATAGTTATAATAAAGTGTCTGTTTTATTAACTGGCAAAGCTCTTGTCCAATAACTTTGCAAGCAGTACCAAGGCAAAGCTGAGTTGCAAAATGCAGCTTTTTTTTTAAATTGTATAGTTGATACACAATAGTATATTGGTTTCAAGTAGACAACAGAGTGGTTCAACAGTTACACACATTATTAAATCCTCACCTGAATTAGTGCAGTTACTGTCTATAACATAGGAAGATGTTACAGAATCATTGGCTATATTCTCCATGCTGTACTACCATCCCCATGACCAACTTACATTGTAATTGAGATTGCAAAATGCACCTTATACCTGGGACAACCTGGGTGTGGACTTGAGAGAGAGGTAGGCCTGCAAGCACATCCTACTTGTGAACCTCTCTGGCCAGATCTAAGGCCTCAGGCCAGTCTCAAGCAGAGGAGGCCTTACACACAGATCCCAGACAGCTGTTTAATATGCTAGCCCTGCTGATTTGTGAGCATAGCCCAGTAAATCTCTGGCAGTAACCGATTAGATTATCTATTCCTCGCTTGGGAAAGAAAGGTAACATCAGTGAGTAAACAGAAGAGCTCATCTCAATGCCTAAGAAAAGTGACAATAGGGAAAAACATTGCCTCCAACCCAACAATTCTATGAGAAATGTGAAGGGGATATTTAAATTGATTTCTCATTGTCATTAGTGCTTTAAGGAAAACACAAGATACCTAATGACAGGTAGATCTTAACAGGGTCCTGGCGCATAGCCACTCTCACTCTGAGTCACACCTTTTTCCAAACTTGAGATGTGGTCAGCACACAGCTGCCAGCTGAGCAACTCCAGCCCCCTCGCGTTCACTACGCCCTGTCTTCCCTCTTGCTGTGCAGGGTCCCCGTTGATGACCCTGGGTCACCCTGTGGTACCCAATAGTTCAAGTAAGAGGGATCTTAGGCGAATACATCCAGAATGTATGATGCCAAGTCTAGGTAGATTCACAATGGCATTTGTGGCCAACTTAAGTCACTTTGAGTGACCTTTTTCATGATGTTTAATTTCATCATAGGTAAATAAGGCTGACTTCTCATGAGCCTCAGAACCCAGGAACAGGCACATACTGAAGGGTGTATAAAGGAGATAGACTGAGGGAGTGGCCAAGGTGATATGGAAAGAAACTGTGGCTCTAGCCCAAGGTCTTCTGGGGTGGGATCTGTGTTCCTCCCAAGAGGGTCCCAAGAGAAAGTTGTTGCTTGAGAAAAGGCCATTGTGCCGAGTCATCTCATGGAATCTCATTTTCTTTCTGGTAACTAGGCTACATTGTGGATACCTGTGTTTATTTGTGAAAATGTGTGTGTATAAGATAATGATTTAGTGAATGTTAGCTATTATTAATGAAATACAGGCTGACACTTTGGTATTCAGTAAATGGTTTATGTAACTGATGGCTACTCCTAACTACATGAAACTAACAGTGACATTAAATGATCTTTATTGATCTTTAAATAAATTGTGCTTTATACTGTTCTGCTGTTTTCAACAAGTTTGGATTTTAATAAACTTGGATCTTTAATAAGAGCAAATTGTGGATTAAATTGGTAAATCATTGTGAAAAATACCAAATACCTTGTACAATGTCTGAGTTTAGTGATTAATGATTGGCAATTCAATACTTTGATCTTAGATATTAGCTACTTTGTAAACTTTAGGCAATGCTTTTATAAACTCTTTTAGCTGAGTTCAAAACATGACTCTGAGGGCCATCACCAGTACCACCCAGACTTCAAATGCCATCTTTTGCCTTTTATCATAATGAGGAAAATTTAGAAAACAGATTTCTTATATCTGAATTAAATATTTAATCAGTCATAGCTTCCACACAAAAACTTTCCTTGAGAAATATGATGATGTTTTCAAACTTCTGCCAAAATACTCAGAGGCCATAGGGAACACAGCAGGCTAAGCATCAGAGCCAGATGGCCTGGGGTTTGACTCTCAGCTCTGCCCATTTCTGGGGTCCACTTCTGTGTAATGGGGATACTAACAGTATCTGCCTCATGATTATTGTGAGAAATGTAAAGGGCTGAGCAGTTTCTGGAACCCAGTAATGGCACTGAGCAACTCCATGCCCTTCCTTTGATTTGCCCTTATACAAATTGAACACCTCTTTCCCTTCTTGCTGAATACTTAGTTGAACCAAATTTTATCTTTTTTAGTATGTTGCTAATTTATCTATATTTTGACTTTTATGAAGGTGGTATGGAAGTATGAACTCAAACTTCCACTTACTGGTATCTTTTATAGCATGTCATACAGCAAGCTGTACAGAAAAGGATATGTTTTCTAGGCCTGTATAATTAAGGAAGCAATAAGCAACTTAGTAGAAGGTTGTTAAACACCCTTCAGGCATGCAGCAATATACACATTTTGATTATGTTAGGAATAAAAGTATTCTGAACAAATGGCCAGATTAATGATGGGTTAAGTATCTATGGCTGGGGGGAAAATGGTTAGTCATAAAATATTTGTTCCAATGATCTTTTTCCCCTTGCATCTATTGTTCTTAAATGTGTGTCTGCAATAAAACTAAATTAAGTATTAAAGAAGATTGCAATAAACAATAGCTTGAAAGTTTAGGTTAGATTCCATGAATTTGTAGTGGTTCAAGCGGCATGATTTTGAGAATTTCTACAGCAGCATTTGGGCGACTATTTTGCACCAGACATTCTGAATGGCACTGAAGAATAAAGGATCATAGGGTCAAACAAGACCACCGGCCTCTTGGCATTTTTATAGAATTGAGGAAAGAGACAATAAAGAAGGAAACAATTACACAGTGTGACTAATGTTTTGATGTTAATAAGCAGAGTTGGATGACAAGGTGTAGCGGGGGCTTCAAGAGAGTCTGTTCAGGAGGTTCTTTCTGCTGAGCTATAAGCTAAGACCTGACGGTCACATGCACCCACCATACTAAGTTTCAGAATAGCATGTACAAAGATCCCAAAGAGAGAAGAGCTTGAGGTGTTCCAGGGACTGTCAGAAGGTCAGTGAGACCTGCGTGTGGCCATGCTGAGCTCCTGCAGGTAGGCAGTGACTAGAACATGCCTGGACTCCCAGTCACAAGGGGTCGAGATTTTATTCTAACTGTAAAGGAGGAAATGCCATTATTAACTTAATTAGTTGTCCAAATTTTCAGTGGGGGCTTAGTGGTGACATGTTCTGTTTACATTTGAACAAAATTTCTGTGGCTTCTGTATAAATAAAGGATTATAAGAGTGTAACAACACTAGCAGGGAGATATGATAAAAGGCTAGAACAGAAGATAAAATGGTGGTGGCAGTAGGATTGCAGACAAGGGACTGCATTGGTTGTGAGTACGTGAGGGGGCAGAAGAATGAAGGAGAATTCATGGGTTTTTGGCTGGACGGTGGTGCCATTTATTGAAGTCATTGTAAGTTTTACATATCCAGGAGACACCAAAGTGGAGATGTCAGGTAGGCGGCTGGATATTGAGGTCTAGATCTCATAGGAAGATCTAGACCGGCCATTTAAATTTGGAAGATACCAGTCAGTAGATCATATTTAAAGACACAAGAAAGTATAAGGTCACTTGGGGAGAGGATGCAGTTAGAAAAGGGAAGTAGTTCCAGGACTGAAGTCCTTGGAACTTCAACATTTAGAGAAGGAAAAGCTAGCAAAGAAACACGAATGTGTCCAGTAAGAAAAGGAGAAGAGAGGGTGCTGCCTTGGAAACGAAGGGAGAAGAATGTCTCTAGGAAGAGGGAGTTGTCAACTGGTTCAAACTGCTAAGAGGTTAAGATAAGGACAAGAGAATTCATGGAATTTGTCAACATGGAAGTTATTAGTAACTCTGAAAAAAATAACTTCAGTTAATTGAACAGGGTGAAAGGTAGACAGGAAATAGGAAGCAAGAAACTGGAGATGGCATGTAAAGACAATGTTTTTTGAGAAATTTACTATAAAGGGAGCAGAAATGTGGGACAGTAGCTGAGGGGATGTAGCTATTAAGACAATTGGAATTATTTGTTGATTTGTTTTAAAAGGAGAGATTTTAGAGTCTGTCGAATGCTGAAAGGAATTGTCCAGTAGTGAGAGAGATTCTGTTGATTCTAGAAAAAGAGGCCATAGTTGGAGCAAAACACCCTTGGGAGGTGGAAAAAATTAGGATCTGAACTACCCAGAGGATTTGGACTATGAGAGCCATGGAAGCCGACAGATTTATGGGTCTCACAGTCCTAAAAGCTCTATGCTGATGGCTTCTTATTTTTTCAGTGAAGGATGAGGTGAGATATGGGTGCAGAGGGGAGGACAAAGAAGGCATAAGGTTTTGTTTGGAGGGTGGGAAAGCAACTTGCCTGGAAAGAAATAGAATTGTGTCATAGTGTTACAAACCCTTTGAGATCTGACACCAATGTAAAGTAAAATCATTTGGAATAGTAATGTGATCACCATGCACTGTTGTGACCACACATTTACTTTTAGTATCTCCCACCAGAGTGTAATTTAGCTGAGGGTAGAGATCCTGTTAAAGTGTTCACTGTTAATATCCCCAGTGTCTATCAGAGTGAGCCAGTGGATTCATCATTCAGTGATGAATAAGGAAGGAGAATTGTCTTTGACACAAAGTGAAAGCATATTAGTGGTCTTTTAGAGATTAATGTCATTTATTTAAAGACACCACAATTTTGGTAAAATTAGGAATCAATCTGAAGCATTTTAAAAGTAATACTTGTTTAAAATAGTGGCCCCCATCCACTAACTCTGAAATAAAACATTAGAGAAGCCACTAAGTATTGAAAAGACAATCAATTAAGAAAATAAAGATAGATATTTTCACATCTTTCATTCACAAAACAAATGCTCCTATTAGCTATTAGCTTTATTAAGTTTTGTATATAACAGGAAATAATACATATTTTAGGCCTCTGCAAAGGTAAGCTCTTTGAGAGACCAGGGGCCCTGGTCTCTTAAATGTGCCAAGTCACCATAAGGTCACAGTTGATTACCCCGTGTATTGTTAATTTGACGATTACTTTCTTTTCATTAGAAAAATTCCAAACTTACAGAATTTTACAAAAATAAAAGAGTACATAGGACATACACTCTTTTCTAATTCATTTTATCCCCACTTGCTTTTTCAGTCTCTTGCTCACTCTATATATATCCATGCATTTTTTTCTCAACCACTTGAGAGTAAATTACATATGATGATTATATTTTTAACAGCTGAGAAAAGTAAGCAAAAATGTTAGGTTTTCATTCAGTGCTTGGAAATAAGCCAGCTCGTTTGGTTGCTGTGCTTACCATCTTCCGGGGCATGTTTATACTCTTTGTCTTCCATCACCTCATAGTCAAACCCAAGAAGATCAATGGGGATGGTATATTTCCTGGCATAGTTCTGCTGGGCACCAGTCAGGAAAGCTTGTGTGAAGAAAAAGCCAGAGAGCCAGAAGACAGGAGGAGGGCCCACCTCGTACCATCGCTGTGGTGACAAGACACAAGTGTCGTCTCAACGGAGCTTTTCAACTTTGAATACAATACTACTTAATAAAATTGTCCCCAAAACACTCCTATTATCTTTTAGGTAAACTAATAAATGAGCTAACACTTTCTTTGAGAAATAAAAAGCCATACTCTCAATGTTTTAAAAATAAGCAGCATATTCAGTATTTGATCTGACTTTAATTTCATATCTATCAGACTAGCTTGTGCGTCACAATGTGCATGAATGCAGATACACATGTCTGTTTTATACATGTATAATGATTTCTTTCTAAAAGCTCCATACAGCAGTGAATATTTAATTCATGGTTGTACAATATATCATGTTATATAGTTCAATAGAAGAAGAGATCCCCATAATGTCTGGTCAGAGAGTAGTGTTTTTCCACTTTTTTCCCCTCTTTCCTCTCTAGTTATTACTGCCCAGTGGAATGTTCTGGAACTTCACCCTACTTTACCAAACTACAATGAAATCCAACATACGGAAGTACAATATTGTACAAGGAATTCCCAGAAGAAACAGGACAGAGAGAACTTTAGAGTTTTATAAATATCAAGATATTTGGATATTCTGCTCATATTATATATTTTAATAAACTAGTTGAATATTGACTTCAACTAAATGGTAAGTTATAGTCAATCAGAAGAAGAAATCTGAAGAACTTTTCCTGATTATGGCCCAAGTAGAGCCTTCACCTTTCAAGAGCAATCTTAATTCTCTAGTACAAACTCTAGCACAACAGAAGGCCTGTATTATAAGGAAAGTTTAATCATTTCATCCTTGCAGAAATTTCTGCACAGGCAGCTTTTGATGCATTATGTACAGTATCTAGGAAATTTAGCAATACTTCTAATGAATATAATTGTTAATAAGAACATAACTTAAACACCAGTATCGCCAGATAATTAGGAGATAGGCTTCTGCCCACTCAACATTTCCAAGACAATTAGCCATTGAGGTTTATTACTGTCTTGGGCTGAACCAGCAATCTAGTGATTCCATGACCTGGAGAGTGCTTGACAAGGAAGAAATCGTGCTCCTTGTTAATAGTTTGATTTGCTTTCGTAGATGCTCTGCTCTAGGATCTACTTTAATGCTAAAAATGTAATGGAAAAATCAGCATAGCCAGTTGTTTTCTGTTCAGCTGTCATTGACTTGATTGTCTAACTTCACTGAACATGGACAGCTATTCCTACAGAAATGTTCAGAGAGTCTACTCCCAATACTAGTATTTTGACAGTTCAGTGCAACAGTTACGTAAATTATTTGTAATATTGAGCAGTGGTCATTTGTGTCAGGGATGTACAGAAAAACTAGGGAGTGATACTCATCATATTAGATATCCTGAGGGAGAAAATGAAATTTGCATAAACTTAATATATTATCATCCAGACAAACTCACCTGGAAGAATTTTAGTCTTGCAAGGAAATCATTCACATAGCTCCCAAGTGGTTTAAGGCTTGGGTATGATTTACCCATCCACATTCCCGGAATTTTGACATTCAGAATGCTGCTAACCACTTCTTCAAGATCTGTAGACATCACTACCAGCCCCTGAAACACATTTAACCTTTGGTTAACATGATAGTATACATTTTGGACAACCCCCTCTTAAATTCTTTGTTTATCATTATCCTTTGTTTACAATTGCTATTATTCAGGTTGAGTCACATAGTAAAAAAAGAGAAAGTAAGGATATTTGCTTTTGCTCACAAGTCATGAGGTCTTTGACTTTGTTTTCCTTAGAAAAACAAATAATTTTAATGTAATCAAATTTGAATGGAAAATTTTTTTATGGAGGCATAATTGACATATAGTTGTTTCAGGTGTACAGCATAATGATTCAATATTTGTGAATATTGTGAAATTATAACCACAATGTCTAGTTAATATCTTTCACAAGACATAATTACAATTTTGGTTTTTCTTGTGATGAGGGCTTTTAAGATCTGTCAGCAGCTTTCAAATATGCAATATGGTATTACTAACTATAGTCACCATTCTGTGTCTTACATCCCCAAGATTTATTTTATAACTGAAACTTTGTACCTTGTGAACCCCTTTCACCCATTTCACCCATCCTAGAAAATCATAATCAATATGTGGGTACATACTAGCGATTAATACACAGCCTAACTTTAACGTGGTTTACTTGTCTATCCAGTGGATGACTAATATCTCTGTCCTGTCCTGAAAGGATAGTGATGAACATAAAATTAAGAAAATGATGTGAAATATTTTGAGAAGTTACAAGATCCTGGATTTCAATTGGGAAGTCTAATTGATCTTGCCCCATTCGGAATCACTGATGTACAGAGGTTAAAACTTTGAGGCCCTTGAAAATTCCTGCATATCTGATCTTGTGATTGGGCCAGCTGCTATCATTTCTGCTTTTTATATAGTTGACAATATTATTCCAGCTAACATATGAAGAAATTTTTGAGTAAATATAATGGATTACACAACCACATTTCATTTGCTTCCTTCCCCAAACCAGCTAAAACAACAGTGAAGGGATTTAGTCTTAAAAGGCATAAGCCCAAAAGCGCAGAAAAAATAGAGAAAAGAACAATGACAACATGATTTGGGCAGGTAGGAAGGGGAAAGCAAAGAATCAACTAGATACACATTGTAGAAAAATATTTGGAATTGATGGCTTAGATGAAAGTGTGGAGAGGAGGATGGTGCTAAAGATTACTGAAACCCGGTTTAAAAAAACACAGGTCTTCTCTCCTGCAAAACTTCACATCACCTACTTTGAATGAAACCTAGAAATGAAATGAAGAAATACCTGGAGTGGGACTGCCAGGCTCAGCTGGAGGTCAGGAACCTGAAATCAGGAATGAAGGGAATGTATGTCTGTTGGATGGTGAGATCCCTGAGGCCTCTTTCCCCTCTTAGCTCAATGCCAGAAGGACAAGAGAAGAACCAGGGCAAGGAGAAACACGTGATACTGAATGCTTCTTGGCCAGAGAGTCCACCCGGGTTACACTACAGCCAACCCTGTAGACTCCTTTTTCAGTAATAACTCGTAACCACCACTTTTCTCCACATCCAGCGCTACTGTAAAAACCAACTCAGCTGGACTACTTCAGCCGTGTAACTGTTTTTTTCCTGCTTTCTTGCTCCCTTACAATATTTCTGCAGTGATCAGAGTGACCATTTAAAAGTCTAAAATAGATCATTTCACTTAAAACCTCTGAAGGACCCCCTCACCTTTACCCTTTAGAATAAAACAAGATCCCAGCGATGGCCAACAAGTCCATCATGAGCCTGTGACTCCCTCGCTTCCTGCTGTTTCCTGCCTGCTCACTCGCCGCTAGCCACACCAGCCTTCCCCACTGTTCATGCTCTGAGTGTGCCCCTGCACCAGGCCGAGGCCCTGGCTACTCCCTCCGCCCAAACGTGCCCTGGCCTGCCCCTCACATCAGGCAGCTGCCCAGGGGTCAGCACCGCAGAGGGGCCTGATTCAAGACAAGTGAGTTTCCCACCCAACATTCTTTACCTCCTCATCCATTACTTTTTTTCCACAGAACTTATTACTTACCAAAATTACATGTTCATTTTTAATAGTCCAGCTTATTAAAAAGTAAGCTGTTATGACAGCAGACACTTTGCTTTTCTTACTTGTGACACTTTGTATCCTCTAAGCATGTATCCAAACTAACAAACTATTTCTATCTAACATACTTATTTACCTACTTATTAACTGTCACCCCCAGAATTCTATATGCTCTTCAAGGGCAGGGATTTCTTTTCTAACCCCAGAACCAAGGACAGGGCTGGCACAGAATCTGCGCCCCAAAAATATTTGCCGAGTAAATGAATGATGTATTTATTTCAGTGATATTTCTTCGGTGTCTTTCCCCTTACCTTGACTGCTTTCTGAATGTTGACACATGATTCTCTTATAGTCTGTAACAACTTATTGAACCGTCCCATCTCTTGAACAAGCACAGTGTTCATGCTCTGAGTGTAAGTTGTTGGATATCTCCTCATTGCAGCCTCAATGTCAAAGTTGTTTGGCAGTTTACCCAAGATGTCACCAGCCACATCATTTACTACTTCATCTGATGATTTTGCACCAGCCTCTGCTGAACGAGACTGTAAAGAATCCAAATCAGAAATCAGAAATCCTCATAAAGGTCTAAGAATTGATGCACAGGAAAACTCCTTTGGTAAATTTTTTAAGAATGACTACTACTACATTTTATCTATGATTCTTCTCTACACTAGATTTACTGACGTGATAATAATAGGTCTGGGGGTGGAGTTTTGGGAGAGGAAGAGGGCATGTACAGTGTTCAGAGGCAAGAGGCAATGCTGTGCTGCCTGGGTGAGAGAGAAGAATAGAGCTGTGGAGAGGGGCTGAAAAAATATTTATGTTGGTGACATGGCCATGTGGCGATGGGCATTCCAACTTAGAAGGAAATCTCATTTTGCCTTGAGAAAGCTTGCTAATACCTCTGGTGCCTGCTGGAGGCTGAAAGCAGAGAGATAGTTTTGTCCTTGAAACAGGAGGGCAAATAAAATAAGCTCATGTCCTCTAAGCAGCTAGAAGAATTATGGAGAAAAGGCAGACGTAAGTGATTCACACTGGAAGCAACGAAGGAGAATTTCATTTCAAATTTTATTTTTTATGTTTATAGTGGCACTGTGTAAATGAATCTCTATTTTCTGGAAAAACCTTTTAAATCCTCAGAATAAATGAGTGTGTGTGTGTGTGTGTGTGTGTGTGTGTGTACACACACTCACTTTGGATGTGTGTGTTGAGAGAAAATAAACACAATTAGAACAGAAATGAACATATATTTTCCCAGTCCTAGGAAATTATGTTTAATCTTATTTCAGATTATTTTATATATCTTGGTTTCAATACTGGTTTCTATACTATTCTATAAATATTACTTTTTCATGTTTCTAATGAGATTTTTAATGTTGCTTACGACATATCACCATAAGATCCTGTGAAGTTGCACAATACAAAATTAAATGTTGGTAAGTGTTAATTATGTACTGGTAAAAAAAGGATATGCCAGTATAGTAATTCTTTGTTACAACCCCAAAGTACTGGGTATACAACTAAATATATAAAATTATAAAGAACGAAGAAGATAATGAATTTTTGGCCAAAACTGGTAAAAATATCTATTTTCATTGCATTTGAAAAATCATATGCTGATTTCTATTTGTATTTGACATGCATACAATAAGCTCATTAAAAAATTCCTATTTTCTAACAAGAGCTGTGCCTGCACCAAAAAAATCTGAAACAAAACAAAAACAAATCCCAGACGTTTCAGATGTAAGAAAAATTTTTTATTAACACAAACATTCTCTTTGCCTATTTCTTACACACCAAAATCACATAATTGGGGTGCTATGTTTTTAAAGTCATGTCCAGTTAATACTGAGAACTAAGAACAAGAGGGTGTTAACTTACTGTAATTGTTTAAATTTAAGCTTTTTTCTTTTTACCACCTTAGGGTTTTCACAAATGTCACTTGGAATCTTCTAAGGGTTACTCTCCTTTAATTAAACAATTAGAAGTGGGACTCATTTTCAAGGAGGCATCACAGAATTTAACATTTTCATTTCTAGCTTTATAATTTTTAAGTTGAAACAGTTTTCCTATTGCTTGGCAGTAACCATCTCAACTCTAGTATTTCCCTCTCTAGTTTTTACAGATAATTTAGTTAAAAACATAATCTAAGTCTGGTCATCATTCACTTGCTCTCCAGACTCAAGGGTTCCTGTCTCTCTGGTCCTGAGCAGTGGTGGATCCAACGGAGAGCCACTGAACTCCTGCCGACCCATTGCTATAATCGTCCTTGCCAATCTGAGATTGAGGGTATTGAAAGAGGTTGTTTAATTACATACTGAGAAGATACCCCATGTGTATTTACACTTATTAGTTTGGTTCTGAGCCATTTTCTGTTGGAACGAGCCCACTGTTTTATGTGTTCTGTAATGTGGCACACCCCATCAAGTTTAAATAAAGCCAAGAGACACTGTAAGTGTCCTATTGTCAGACTACTGTGTAGTACATACTTCTAATGTTCCTAAAGACCTTTTTCATGTCTGTACATATACTTTTGTGTTCAGGCAATCACTGATTTTAGTGGTATTAACATGAAAATGAAGATAAAAAATAATCCTTATCCTTTTTTGCCTTCTTAGAAAATACTGTCTTCCAGTAACAGACCAGGAGTTCCATGGGCTCTTTCATCAATGATATCATATTATTTTATCCTCCTAATCTAGGTTCTTTTAGCCTCTCCCCAGTCTCACAGCATCTCTGGTTATCTGCCTTTCGGGTCCTTTCTCATTTTTAGAATCTAGAAAGAATAGCATAAGAATTCAGAATGGATTCTGGAGTCAAACTAGCAGCAGTCAGACTGCTTGGCTTTGAGACCTGTCTTGAAGTTGTACTAGCTGACCTTGGGCAAACCACATAATCTTCTGGGTCTCAGCTGTCTAGCTGCAAAGTGGGAATAATCAGCCCCTCCCTCATAGGACTGCCATAGCAAATATAGTTATACATGAACAGTGCTAGCAGACAGTAAGCACTGATGAGGATTAACTATTACTATCATTGCTCTGGGATTCCATAAAAATAAAAAAGATCAGCTAGAATTCAGTTTGTGGCATAATCTGCTTGACTGAATAATCATTCATAAGAAATAAGTTGCCGTAGAAAGGTGTGTAATCATCCATGACATTAAAGTTTCATTTAATTGCTAGGGGAACCCTTGCCATTTGGACTCATTTGCTTTCAAAAATGATAAAAACAAACAACTGAGCATATCGTCTAAAGGGAGAAGAATACAAGAGAAGATCTCTTAATAGACAACCAAGATGAAAGAGTTTTCATTCAAGTACACTAACTGGTGCCCGTGGCGTGCTGAATTCTGATGCCTTAGGAAATTCCTCACTGACCGGCCCTGTGTTTATGCTCTTACCAATGGAGCTGTGTGCGTCTACACGGAATCAACTGTATTTTTCTTCTAAACCTTTTAATTTGTTTTATACTTCCTACTGCAATTGTATTCTTTATATATTATGTGATCTGACAAAATGCAGATGTGAGAGAAACTTCCTATGTAAACTAGGTTAAATATTCTGGGATATATGAAAAAGATTAAGTCATTTAAAAAATTGCTGTTGATTTAGTTAAGAGACTAGGAAATAAAGAGGCAAAATTCTAGATGGATTCTGGCATCAAACTGCTTCCCAAGTGTTTTTGAAATTCTTCTTCCACTTCAAAAGAATTAAAAAGGGATATATGTCTGATGTATTTGGGCATGTTTTACACAAGAAAAGCAAAATGGAACTCCTAGCAGCAGAATGATATCCAAGATTCCTTCCAAATCAAGACACCAGTGAAAACCCTCATATGCTCATGTACTTTATGTTTAAATACATATTTAAACTATGGATTTTTTTCTTTTCCTTAACATGGTTCTGCATGTTAACAGATGGAATTGTGTACATGGGCCTCTACTGTGGGGGCACATGCTGCCTGGGGCATCCGTTCCACCCCCAGAAGCCAGTTCCTGGGCACATCACACACCTGTGTGAGAAGAATATTATCAAACAGCAGTTGCGTTTCCGACTGATCCTTAGTGATATCTGCATTGGCATTCATGCCAAAGATTTCCGGTGCTGGCGTCAGGGGCAGAGTCTTTGTATATTCGATGTAGCTTTTGTGCTGCAAAGACGAATAACAAGCAGGTCAGAAGTCAATTATCCGGTAGAACTTTCTCACTGAAAAGAGATCATTTTCCATACTCTAGATACTAAGTGAATGAGCCTTTGAGACTGGACCCTGAATGTTTTCATTTTCGTTCTATCTGGACCAAAGTTTTCTTTTGTTTTTTTTTTTTTTAAAGATATGGACACATTTAGAAAAAGAACACCGTTCAGTTGGGATGGATTTTTAAATGAAGAGAGGAATGTCCTGGCCACTTCATTTACAAATTTCTTCTGGAGAAATCTTCTGTGCTATGTTTGCTGATGACTATTCTTAATTTATCGCAGTAACAATAATTTTTTTTCCCAGTTTCACTCTGATTTCTGTTTGTTCCTATTGTGATAAATCCAATCAGAAAAGAAAAAAAATTATCTGAAATTCTATTATCTTGAGATAACTACCATTAACATGGTATTTCTTGTGCTTATGCATACACATTTATATTTAATTGACATGGACTTTTATCATAATTCCATATCTTTCTTGGTCCTCATATGATCATATACAAACACCCATATACATAAATGGTGGCCGGAGAGGATCAGTCATTGGTGGTTTTTCTGTGTGGTCTGTGTTTACATATACCTGACTTCATCTGGCTTTTTTCTTGTTTGACAGTTGATCACTGGAGATCTTGCTACTCCCCATGTTGATTTGTTCCACCCCATCAGTGACCTCAGCTTTGGGACGGTTTTTCTCGCCACCTGTTCTCAGCTAGCCATTAATCCGAGCAGAAGATGAGGGTATGGTATGTGCCTCTATTGCATGTGGCTGTGTGTTCAACTTTCCACATGTGCTTTTTGACTTCTGGGAATAAAATGAGAACCAATTTGACTGTCCTGTCAGTCCCTGAAGTCTATTATGTGATAATCTGAAGGCAGATACCACATTTTCCACCAGACAGGACTGGAGAAAACAGCAGAAGGGAATGCTGGCCTCATGCAGCAGGTGGTTCTGTGACTCTGGGCCCCTTTCTACCTGTGTAGCCTTAGGCAAGCCATTCAACTTTAATGAACTTGCTTTCTCTTCTATAAAGGGACAGAATAGTTTTGCCAGTGTTAATGTTATGTTCCAGTGAGATAATTACAAGTAACTGCTTTGTGAATAAACATGATCTAAATATTAACTATTATTGTTAATAGTATTTTGTAATCCCTCTCATGTGTATTTCCATTTTAATTGGCAACAATATCCTTCTACCCAAAGGACTGGATGCATGATATTAGTATTTCATGACACTGAGGAAGCTATTCTTGGGCGAAGGAAGTTCCTGATATTCCTCACGTTACAGTGAGCAGGAAACCACTCCCCCCACGTACGCACGGGGTTTGCTCTGTCCTGGTGCGACTGAAGAAAGCCCACAGAATGGTTAACGGAAAGATGAGGCCTCTCGAAAGATCATTTTCTATTTCAAAGAAGTTTCATGTTTCACTGCTTCTAGTTTTCTGGAAGGGCATACTTACATCACCAGAAGGAGGGACAAAATAGATGCCACTTGTGTCGAATTTATAGTCTGGATTTTCAACTAATTCTGTGTTGAAGAATTTGTTTAAGATACTGCGCAGTGTGCGCCGGTCCCAGTCGTCTGTCACCCTGCCTCCGTAATTGCATTCACCGGTCATGTATCTCAGGGCGTCATAAGGCAGTTCCTAAAATTGCAAGTTCGAGTCACTCAGTCTAGCGTTATCAGTAGCACGTTATACAGAATCATGTTTCTTGTTTGCTAATATTATTAAACAGCTTGCAAAAATACAATTTCCCTTCAGATACTTCCCTGCTAATAGTTGTAAGTTTCCCCAGGGTCTTTCTCTCCTTTTGTGATTTGTCATTTCTATTCAGTCAATGCCGAGAATGGAATTCATCTATTAACTTGTAAACTCACTATTCAACCAGCATTAACAGACCACCTTCCATGTGCTAGACACAAAATAATTTAGACCATAATCCCATCCTTACAAACCTTGCACTGCTGAGTGACATTTAAAACAAACCCAATATAATTCAGAGATAATCTGTGTTAATTTCCTTTACTACCTTTTTATATTCCCATATATTCTGACAATTGGAATCACATTGCATATATCAATTTCACATATGATTTTCACTAAATCTCATGAGATATATTTTACCATATCATGAAATACTCTTTGAAAATATTGTTTTAATACCTGTTTTCTAAAGTTGAATATTTCAGTTGCTACTAATTTTCTACTCAGTTAGATTATGTTCCATTAATATACCTTTCTTAAATTTTCTAATGATCCTTCAGAATCCTAAAAAGCAATTATGTCAAAGGGAAGGAGTTTTATAAAAAGCAATTAATCAATGTCACCAATCTGCTTTTCTGAAAGGCTGTGGCAATTGTAGAAATCAGTTTTAAACTCTTTGCTAATCTGATTGCCCAAAGGTAAGTAATATTGTATTAATTTGCATTTTCTAGACTACTAGTAAAGTTCATAATTTTTTCATGTTTAATAACATTTATTCTGCGAACTAGCCTTCTATCCATTGTCTTCAATTAGTTTTAGTAGTTTTACCTTATTTGCATAAGCTGTTTTATAAGTGGACCTTTATCAAATTTGTGAAAATATCTTTTCCTGTTTGCTTTATTATATTTTCTTGTACACAAAATGTTTAAATGTTTACAAATGCAAAAGTATTGTTTTTCATACTGCAATTTCTTTTATCCTAAGCATAAATACTTACACACCCACTGGCAATGTAGAAATTCTGTGTTTCTCTGCTCTCAACAAAACTGATCATTATCACTTGGGAAAAAAATGAAAATAAAATAAAATTGTTTTTCATGTTTAACTTTGCTATTTTATTTTTATTGAGATAAAACTGACATGTAACATGGCTAGTTTCAGGTGTACAACTTAACGATTTGATACTTGTATGTATTGTGAAATGATTACCACAGTAATCATGTTTATTTAACTTCTGTCACCATACATAGATATAAAATTCTTTTTCTTATGATGGGAAGTGTCTGCTTTTCTGAAAGGCTGTGGCAATTGTAGAATTCTAGACACTAGATGGGAAGTGTCTAGATCTATTCTCTTAGCTACTTTCAAATATGCACTATATTATTAAGCTATGTAATGTACAGCATGGTGACTATGGTTTATTTTTGATAACATTTTAAAAGTATTTATTCAGCATTTGTATTTCTTTGTTAAATCATCTACTCTTTCTTTAATTTTTTTCTCATTTGAATTATCTTTTTTTTTCCTTATTAAAAGCTCTTTATAAAGATATGGAATCAGTTTGTCAGAAATTTTTAATAGTTTTGCCAAATTTCATTTGTCTTGTAATTATGTTTAATTGTTTAAGGTAAGGATAAATGAAAAACTCTAGAGACTGAGAGACCTCTGAAATAAAAGGGCTTACTGAGCCTTTACAGATGCTGGCCAGAGATGGACTGGATCCTAGGATAGAAAGTTTCTGCCTAACCAGCAGCAAGGCCAGGAAACAGAAACAACTTGTCCACCAGACTCAAGAAATAGGGCACATTTAGGAAAGTTCTTGAGGAAAGAAAATTCTTTATATTCACACTGGTAAAGATAAGAAAGGCGGCCTACCCAAAGAGGGTGTAGGGGAAGTCCTTCGATAGGTGGTTAGTCTAGAGAGAAAGCTCATGGAGGGGTTGTGGATGATGGTCAGACAGTGGTCACACACAAGAGGGACGTGGTGATTCTGGCGACCTTCTAAAGGATTGTTGAAATGACTTCATCCGGGAACATGAGGTTCTGGTTAGCTGCAGACTGAGGCTATTAACCTATGACCTTCCCTTGTCTCTTTCCCTCATTCTTTCGCTCTTAATGTCACTTAATTTATGACATTTCAGAATTTTTGCCTTGTCACTATTTCAGTATAGCGATATTTAAAAATATTTTCTAATGAAATATGGCTATCTTTTACTTTAGGATTTTTTCATCATTTTTTGCTATATGCCCTTCAGACAGTTATCTGTTAAAAGTTAAAGTGGATATATCCTACATTGCCATGATCCTACTTTGAGGAATCTCTTCAATAGCACTAGGAGAAAAGAGAGTAATGATTAAAGGGAGGAAATTTATTGAATTAGGGGCTGGAAATTATGGGACTCGTTACTTGGTGGAACTGGAACTGAAGGTAGTGAATTTAGGAGGACATACATCAGTGACCAAGACATTGTGGAGAAGAAAACAGATTCAGGAAGAACTCCAGCATGTTTATGTTCTTCCAGCTGCACAATGTGAGGGGTGTTTGATCAGAGGCATGCACTGCCTGTTGACAGGCCCCCACCCCATAAAAGTAAAATAAATTAAGAAAACACAGCACAAATGAAACAGGTTGAATATGAGGTAGAGCAATACATGCATGAGCTGGCCCGTAGGAGGGCTTTGTGATGCAGATGTAAGATGAGATCTGGAGGGGGAAGCATTTGATTTATGCATAAAGAGTTAAACCTGCCAACATGCTCCAGAGAGCTGACGGGTGACACATGTCTCTCAGCAGCTTGCTCACAACTAAGACCGATGGAATTGGGGAATGTGTTCTCCCAGGGGCCCACGTGCATTGGCTGGGATCACAGAAATAGCAGCTGCTTTTTGCTGAGACCACTACCCTGCTCCATTGTTATAAGAGAGTTGAGACCATGGCCAGGGAAAGAGTGCAGAGGGAAGCAGAGCTTGAAGTTAGCAGCAAGTGCACAGTTATATATAAAGTTGTTTCACTTGAACAATGTTTATTAGCACAAAATAAAAAAGGAAATAAAATCCTAATGGTCAACAAAGGGGAAATACTGTGCAAGCAGCTATTAACACAAAGATCTGTACCTACTTTGGAAGTTGTCCACAACATACAGAAAAAAAGCAAGGAGAAAATAAATATGCAAACATAGTTATGTTTCTGGAAAAAGTTGTGTGTATATTGTACATATGTTTGTGTGTACCTATATGTGCATAGGAAAACTGGACAGGCTTTCCCTAAGCTGTGAAACTGGTTGCTTTGGGAAAGAGTCAGGGATGAGCCTTTCTTACACACACACACACACACAACACACACACACACACACACTCTGGTACCAAAACCAGAAAAACAAAGCAATTGTCCATCTGTCAATTAGATTATATATGTATGTATTTGCATTTTTTTCTTTCAGTTTAGTTTTTCCTATTTACTATTTTTATTTATTTTCTATTTCTGATTTTTAAAATTCAGTGAGAATTATACAGTATGAATAATCTAATTTTTTCCTAAAAGCAAATAACCAATTATCATGTCATCATTTATTGAACACTTCTTATTTCCTACTTACTTTAAATATTGCAATGACTGTGCCAAATTTCTACACAGAGTAGTGCTGCCATTCTTGTTATTGGGAGCTGGATCTTCCAACATGATTTATTCATTGAACAGACACTTACTGAGCTAACTACGACATCTACTGTTTTAGGTGCTAGGGATACAAGAATAAACAAATCGAAGTCACCATAATAGAGTGGCTCATTATCTGACAAAATGTGCTCTCCTTCTGAACAAGTTTGTAGTTCCCAGTGACCTACATGTATCACCAGCTCCCTTAAGGCTATCAGAGCAAAATGGCGCCTTGCATCCATGTTTCTGCCCACTAGCTAGAGTACGTTAGGAAAAGCGTAACAGAGATGATGGGCTAGTAGGCCACAGAAAACCAAAAATTCTGTAATTATCTCCTGTTCTCACATGTGTTCACCCATGTTGATAAGGATTCTCAATACAATCCTGGACAGGGTGACTATCAGCCAGTGGCATGTAGAAATACGCCAAAGTGGGGGGGAGGGGAGGGCCAACTTGGCTTCTGAGTCTGAGTTGGTTATTCAAGAAAGGCTCCCAAAAGTAGACAAGGATTGAGCATAGGAAACGGCACTCAAAGAAGGAAATATATGCCAAGGCTCAGAGATGCAGAAGAGCTATGAGAAGAGCAAGTAGGCGGTGGTGACGCCACCCAGCAGTCCCCTTCCCTGGGGGGTACTACATTCCAGGACCCCAGTAGATGCCTGAAATTGCAGACAGTACTAAACTATATACACACTATATATTTTCCTTTACAAACATACCTATTATAGAGTTCAATCTATAAACTGGACACAATAAGAGACTAACAATAATAAACACTAGAGTATAAGTTATGTGAACACCATCTCTCTCAAAATATCTTATGGTACCAGATTCACACTTCTTGTGATGATGTGAGATAATAAGATGTCTAAGTGATGAAATGCAGTAGGCTTTGGCATTGGGCTACTAGTGACCTTCTGAGGACTGGCCAAAGGAGGATCAGCTGTTTCTGGACCACAGTTGACTGTGGGTAACTGAAACCATGGAAAGAGTAACTGGGGAACTACTGTGCACGGCATGAGATAGAGCAGGGAGTGGAGGACAGTAGGTTAGGGAGGGATGAGGAGTAACTGAGTGTCAGTAATTCCCAGTAGCTTGAGGATTTGGTGGGTGGTGGTTCCTTTGATGCAAACAGAGAATGGAAAATGGAGAATGGAAACAGTACTCTGTGAGATAATCATTCCTCATTCTGCTTCTTTTCCAGAATTTTCCCTACTCCTTGGCCTGTAGTATTTACAAAGCACCTCACTTTATATCAGCTCTGTGGATACCCAGCGCCTGACTGGAAATCAGGGCTCAAAGGTGGTTTTCAGCCCCAAAACTTGCATATCAGAGACTACTTGAGTGAAATCTTTGCTTCTTCAAGTTCCCTATTAATATTTGATTCTTCTAGAATTCTGGAGCTTTGCCTATAGATTTCACCTTCCTAAAAGCTTGCTTTTTTTCTTTATACATTCTTGGTTGGGGTAGAGGGACCCCATCAAGGCCATATTTGCAAGGCATAGGACAAGAACTCCTAAAATTCTTCATTTTCTTCCTTTCCAGTTTGACTTTTATTCACAGTCAGCTAGAATTTGAATAGATAGATTTGGTTCCATTGCCATAGTTGACCCACTGAACCTACTTAGAAGCTGGAAGAATGTAGTATAATGCAATTTGGGAGGTCCTGGATTTTAATTTCTGTTGTAATCACAATCCCAATTCTTATCTCCAAGTGGAGGTTAGTGTACCCTTCTTTGATTTGATTTCCTCATTCTATTCATTCTCTTGATGGCAACAACTTTTGCTGGTCTAAGGTTTAGTGTGTGTGTGTGTGTGTGTGTGCGCACACATGTGTGTGTATGAGGAGAGAGAGAATTTGGTTTTGATTTGTTTCTTTGTCAAGATATTGGATCATTTCAAGAAAAAATGTTGATTATTGAAGAAGGATTACTTTAGACTTAATAACATCAAAGGAAACTGGGAATTCACATTCCCCAAAGAATTCCTCTAGCTCTTGATGAATTTTCTGTGATTCATGAGTAACAGTTCTGTCAAGTCTGCTGTGTAATTTCTATGTTGGAAGAATGGGAGGCACTGCTGAACCGGCATTTAAGAGAAGAAACCATTTCAATCAGTCCTGTATGGCATTAAAGGATTCTCTCTGTAGCATTTGACAGGATGGGCAATTCCTGCTATCCCTCATTTACTCAGCATGCTCCCTCCTGCTTTTTCTTTCTGGCCGCTCAGTTTGCACTTTCCACATCTTCTGTCTCCTCTCCTCCCATTGATGTGGGTGCTCACCCACGGTTGATCTTTAGTTCTTTTCTTATGCTACAATATCTCCCTTTCAAATCTCAGAGTTCTCAGGCTACCATAGCCATGAACCTATCTGATATCTCCACCTGGACAGTGAAGATGTATAAAATGTAGGAGACTGAAGTAATTATCCCCTCGCCCACCCACATTCCACCAACCCACGTGTTATTTACCTGTTCATTCTTCATACCTACTCCCTGTCAGGATAAATTGATGGTATAGTATTAATCCAGACCAGAAAGCTAACATCAACCAAGAGTTCTCCCTCTCCCTTTACCATTTAATATCTGTCATTTCAATCCATTTCTCTACATATCTATTGTATCTCTACCACAGTCCCTCTCCAGCTCACATGCTTTAGCTTAAACTCTTATCATCTGTTGCCTGGGTCATCATGAGGGTCTCTTGTATTTGTTTCCTAGGGTTGCCAATAGATGTTTTAAAAAACAGCAATTTATTTTCTGAGAGTTCTGGAAGTTAGAAGTTTGAAATTAAGGTGTTGGCAAGGCCACAGTCCCTCCAAATCTTCTATGAGGATCCCTCCTTACCTCTTTCAGTCTGGTGGCCCACATGTTCCTTGGTTTGTCACAGAACTGCAATCTCTATAATATTTTAAGTTAGAATGTACTCTTCGGGTGCTTGAACAAACTGCTAGATGAAGGAGGTCCTCCTCCTTTTTTATTGTCTTGTATTGAAAAGTGTATATTTTAGCTCAAATACTTCCTCAGGCACAGTATAACTATGTTTGCCCTCCATTTTAGTATCTTTTCTTTTTTTTTTTTTAAATAAATATTACTGTGAGAAGGAAGATCATCAACTTTATTCTCCTTTGGAATGTTTCAGCAAACTTAAATGCTGCAAAAGCAAAAGCCTTCTCAACTCACTTGACTAGTACAGAATAGAAATTTGTTTAATGAAATAGAAGATCATAAGAAAGATTCTTCACATTAGTTTAGATATGTCATTTGAGCTCTTGATATTTTTTGTCCTGTTTGTCTTTTGCTTTTATAGAGATAGGATTCAAAGCCTTTCTGTTTGTAAGCCTTCTTAAAGAAAATGATCACAATTCACTACAAGTTTCAAAAACCAAAGTTCTTTGATAGTTCATTGAGTGGTTTAGTTAAAATTTCCAAATATCTTTGAACAAAATTCTATCAAAATTTAGAATATCCACTTTTTTTAAAGTTCCATATCATTATAGGACATGTGAATTGAGTTAATAAGCAGTTCTTCAAACATACAAATGTAAAAAATCCAATTGATAGGCAAGTAGCAAAGAAAAAAAGTGGGTACTGTGTGTTGATGTGTGTTTGAATCTCAGAATTTTATGAGATGAAATGTGGATATGACAACATTAGGCTGTTTAGCTTTTTCCCTGAATCTATACTTCAGGTTAACACCAGTGGCTTAACTAGTTTACCTTCTCCTAACAAATGGCCCACACACTGGAATAATAGCACAATCACATTTCTCTAAAAATAAAATCATGTTCTAGAACAGAAGAAATAATTTCATTTCTCATTTTGGAGCCTGATTAATAGTTTTCTCAAAACCTTGTCAAAGTAAATACGATATAATCACATTTCAGATCCCCATAGCTGTTCATGTGTCAAAATAAATGATAAAATATAGATTCCTAATAGACAAACTAACATCCTAACTACCTCCTTTAGCAGTTATAATATCCTACTATACTGAAGTATTATTTAATAAGCTGCTGGGAACTATCCTGCTATTCATTTTATAAAAGTAGGAATTAATCAGAAGTCCCCTGCACACTTACAACATGACAAAGAGCAAACTAGGTAATGTCCTTGCTGTGATTTTTATGATACCTCGTAGTGGTTCAGGAACATGTGGAGTTGCTGTACACTGATTCTCAGGTCAGTCTCATTGAACTCATAAGGAATATTCCACCCCAGGGGCCCAAATTTCCGTCTCTCTTGTACCAAAGCATGAAAGAAGCAAAGGGCATAAAGTAATTTCTTGAATTCCTCCTGTAACGAGAAGAAGTGGGGCCACATCATTATTTTTTCTCCTAACATTACATTATACGTACCATATTTTAAAACGCAGTTAACTCCTTTGGCTTATAAATACAGCCATCTTGAAGTATAACTAAAACAGAGTTAACTGTTTCTACAGGGCATTTAGGCAAAACTATGCTGATTTGTATACATATTCAGCTGGCACATACAGCTATGTACACCAGGTTTTTAAGACACATAGTAAGCTTGTCAAATTTAAAGCTACCTCACAGTATTTTGGAGGTTCCAAGTGAAGACTTATGAGGCTAGAAGTGTGAATTCCAGTATGTGGTACCAGACCACCATGGAGACATTTGAAAGGAGATGTTTCAATCCAATTAAGCAGCCCTTTAAGAGGGGCTTCTGGACTGGGACTTGGGCAGCTCAGTGACTTCTCTGGTGTTCTCAGGTAATAAAAAGCCTTACAGTCACTTTTAGTGGCAAAGCCAGTCTTGATTCAGAAATCAGAAAGTACAATGCAATATATTAATCATCTGTACCTTCCACAAGGAGAATATAAAATGGTCAAAAGGACTTAGCAGAGATCTAGTGAAGAGATTTCCTTAGGAAGAGCAGCTGCTGACCTAGAAGCCCTCCTGCCCTAACACCCAAAGGGGCAGGGAGTGGGGGTCTGTCTTCTCACCCCAAGTTAGTGGGAAGACATCAGTGGGGCCACTCAGAGTTGATGCATGTTCCCTACAGCTGGGATAGAGTGGAAAAGTGAAAAACGCATGCTTGAGAACCTAGAGCAGTCTAGAGGGCTGGGAGAGGGAAACCGGCGCTCTGCCTCCAGCAGTGGCCAGCCTGGCGGGAATCCCAGGGAGCAGATGCGGAGCTGGACTAGACATGTCGGCCAGGGGTCATTTTAAAGGTTTCCTGGTCCAGAGGACTTGCATCGTGGAGCGGGGAAATCCCAGCACGGGATTTCACATAGGGAAGAACCTATGTGAAGTGAGTGACGGAGAACCAAAAGCTGAGGGCAATCGGGGGCAGCCAGGGGAAGGAGACGCATGGCCAAGGGTCATGGGGTCACTGTCAGGGGAGGCTGGCAAGGGAGTCACCGAGAGCCTGTGAAAGAACTCGCAACAGAGAAAAAGCCAGCGTCAGATCGCTGCTGAGTCCACAGGGCTCCCAGGAACAGCAGCCCAGAACAGGAACCCCCGCCCCTCCTGGCCACGCCGCTGTGCGCACCCCGACCCCGCGAGGCCGGCCAGCATCAGCAGCTACTGCAGGCCGGAGGCATCAGAAAAAGAAAGATGCCAACTCCATCCTCACGGCCCACCCACGGGCATGAAACCCCCGACTACAGGCCCCGGGTGAGTCCCCCGAGAGGTTAAGCCTACACTGTGAATACAAACTGTATATACAGTGAATACACTGTAAGCTGTACTTGCTGACTTCTGAGTCAGGGCTGGCTTTGCAAGTTAGAGTAACTCCAGGCCACTTGGTTACTTCCAGAACCCAGAAAAGCCATGATGCTGCCCCAAGTTTTATCCAAGGCAGGGGGAGGGAGGGGTCCCCTGTGGAATAAAATGGAAAGGGAGAGTGGGAGACAGAAGCAAAGAGCATAAGTGAACCAGAGAGGTGGGAGCAAGTAAAGTTAGACATGCTGTGCTAAGTTTGGAACTATTATGGATACAGTAGAGAATTAAGCAACTTGGTAAATGTGCTGATGTGGGAGTCAGGCTTCTCACTGTAGAAGAAGGGACATACAAATATGGAATGTAGCAAAGCAAGAAAGAACCCTGGGCACATGGACTGAAATGGGATATATTGCTGTGAACTCATTACTTCTAAAATATACATGTGAGTATAGATGTGTGCATATACTTGTTCATATGCATGTATATATATTTGTATATATGTATATGTGCATGTGAGCACATGTACATATTTCCATGTCTTGGTTTTTAATACCATTCCCCTCTAAGAAGGAACCAGGACTCTTCAAAAAAATGACTGCATCCAGGATTGGGGTGCAGATGAGGCTGGAGCATCTCATGTCAGAAAGTAAAAGGGTTAATAATAATAATAACAAATGATGGGACCTGTAACAAGGACAGGGGAGTCAGTTTGAAGGAGATCCTACTGACCAAATCTGGGACAATTTGAGTAAAAGACTTAAGAATAGTAATGAATTGTAAACCATTGAGGAAAAAATATATATAAGGAATTCATAAGTATATACCAAAAATAGATAAATAAATGGAGGGGAAGTGAGGGCTATTGCTGACAGTAGCATGTCATGTGTCAAATCTGGAGGGAGAGCTAGAGTTGGAACTGTCATAGAAAATAACTGGATCAGGTAAGAATGATCAATGGCTACCAAATCCGGGTCAGGGGTAGATTTTGATGAGGAACAAGATATTGGCATGGCCCTAAAATGTCTCCCCACGACTGATTGCTAGTTGCGAGGGGCAAGGTAGTTATTAAGCCTTGAGGAAATCAGACCCCACTTTGTTCAGGTGCTCAGAATCAGTACTGTCAGTGAGGGCATCGTGTGCCTATCAGTGTTAGGCCCTGAGGACACAATTCCATCTGTGTAGTATTCTGGCTAAAAATGCATAACCTGAATGTAATCATTAGTAAATATCAAATAAGCCCACAATGAGAAATGTTCTATTAAAAAACACAGGGGAAGATGAATTCTTCAGAAATGTCGATGTCAAAGACAAAGGCTAAGGAAATGTTCAAGAGTAAAGGAGACAGAGACATGGCAACAAAAGGCAGCACTAACCCTAGCCAGTCCTGTGGAGTGAGAGAGCTGAACGCTCCAAAGGACAGCATTGATAAACCATCTCATACATTTGGAACACAGACAGTACATTAGATGTAACAGTGTATCCTTGTCAAATTTGCTAAATTGAGAATTGTACTGGGATATGGTAATATCTTTCTTAAGAAATATACATCACAGTATTTTGGATAAAGGGCCATAACTTACCTGGAAATGGTACATACAAATAGAAGGTGAATATAGGTGAGTATAGGGTATTCTTTGTACTACTTTTGACCTGTAAGTTTTTATAAGTTTAAAGTTAGCTCCAAATACAAAGTTAAGATAGAGAAATCAAATGCTGCTTTGGCATTTGAGGAAATTCGGGTTTTGGGTTGGATTGTGGTTCATAAATACCTAAACTTCCAATACGTGGGGCTACCACTGAGGAGACCTTTGGATCTAGGAGAAAAAGAGTTAGAATTTTGTAAAAGGGCTTTTGTCCAGCCCTTCACATGCAAAAATGACCTCACCACCTACCTGAAAATAATCTGCTCTCTCTGGGCCTAATCAATGCAAAAACCAGTCATATCATACAGCAGGTCTTAAATGCTTAGGATAAGGTTTGACATAGCTTTAGATATACTTGGTTTTTTAGGACCCAAGATTTTATTTAATGAAAGTACTTCTTTATTTTTTAATGTTTTCTTTTGATGTGCACTTAAAACATATTCTGACATCAAGAGTGTGAGCTTTTTAATGGCAAAAACTTACCAAGGTTCATAACCCCTTTTAAAAAGAAATTCTTCCATTTTTAATTATGGTAAAACACTGTGAAACATTTTTAGGTCACAGGCATTCACATACAGAATTCTAATCATGAAAGCAGTGGGTGGTTTCCCTGCTCGCCTGGTAATGCTGTGAAAGACCCTTATGAGCCCCATCAATCAAGGAGTAAAATCATTTTGGCTCTCATTATAGTTATATGGAGGACATATTTTTATGTTTTAATTTAAAGATACGGCTCCAAATAGCAAAGGGTTCAGTTAATATCCTGAAACAAGATTCTCCAACCTTGCAGATTTGTACTGGGAATGGCTTACAGCTGACTCTCTAAATAGAAAGCTACATTATTAATGACAGTCCAGAAGGTCTCAGCTGAGCAGGAATGAGGCTGGTGGTAAAGGTAAAATAAAATATTAATAAAATTGACTTCAGCACAGTCAATAATCAGTAATCAAAACCAACGACATGGCACTGCAAGGAACCCTATTTGATTTGTTTTCCTCAGCACACACACCCATGATCAGCAGGGGCCGCCTGAACTGCTTTACAGGGCTGAGGCAACAAGCCTTAGGCATTACTTACAGGCTTTCTGCAGCTGCCAAAGAACTCCGGGTCAGAGATGGGGTCCATGAGGTAGGATCGGATGACGTTAGCCCGTAAGCCTTTGGGTGCCTCGTTGGTCATTTTCACTCCGTTCTGTAGTACCGACACGGGGAAATTTGGAGACGGGTAACTTGTCAGCCAAATTCGGAAATCTGGATGTGTTGAGTCTGGGCTTAACTCCTGCAAGAAAAGAAATCAGACACAAAAGTGTACGTAAAATCCAAGGAAAATCTTCAGATCGTATGTGCCTGGGATGACCTGGAAGTGGGAGGAAGCAATGTTACACAATAGTTTATTGCTGAAATATAAGGCAAAAGCCTTCAAATCTGATTATGCCCCGAAACATCATACTTCATTAAGAAGGCACAGAGTATTGTCATTCTCCCTGATAAAATTAAATCATGACTATAAAGTTTTCAAAGGTGTTACATAATTCAGAGTTGGCCACAATGAAGACTAAGACATTCCAAAAATGTTAACGTTAACATCTAATGTTAAATGGTCTTGCTTAAATATTTACAGAAATAATTATCTGCCTGAAAATCAGATTAAAAATAATTTCTTTGTGCTCTAGCCAGGCTATGAGAATGAGCAACACACTCGGATTAAGCCAGTATTGAACAAAGTGGTGAGGAAAAAAAAAGAGAACAAACACATTTAAGAGTGAGAAGAACTGGTATATTCTGAAGTATTAAAACATGACCGTTAGTTATATTTGTTTCAGGAGCCCTCAGGCCTGCCCTGCAGAGGAGAGCAGAACACACTGTCATAGGGGCTGCATAGGCTGGGAATAATTAGCATGGGCCATTGTCCATGTTAGTGGGATCTATGTTTTTTTCTAAACTACAAATATTTATCAGTAAAAGAATTCTTGAGCACTCATGTGAAGGGGTGGCAGTGAATTAGGAAGGATTCATAGGCACCTATTATCTTTAAGAGCAACAGTGCAGGTGAGGGCACCACTTTTCCTCTTACCAGCTGCCCTATGGCCAGTGACATAAGTAACATGACTCATGGGGCTCTGGGAGAAGTTCGTCACCCATTAGGGACAGCTCTTCTCTCATATTCCCTCATACTCTGAAGGTTATGCATGATACAGTTCCACAGGTCATGAGAATGGGAACAGGCACAAATACAAAACCTCTAATGTAAGGCCTGGGGGATGAGAAGACGTTGGTCAGGGAAATAAGAAAAAGAATAGTTTTCAGATAGAAATAACATCTATTATGATATGGCTTATGTTCTTGAAAGAGTGTGCTGTACCAGTGAAAGTGGAAGAAGTTCATTGGTTAGAGCATAGAAGAAGTCAGGATGGAAAGTGGCCAGAGATGAAACAGAGACAGGCAAGGGACAGACAAAGAAAGGTGTAGTAAGCCGTGATGGGGGTTTGAACTTTGTCTTGTATGCAATGGGAAGCCATGGAAAGGTTTTAAGCAGTAAAACAATAGTCACTAGCTAATTCAGTGAATAGTTATTGTCTTGGATGGGCCAGGCACTATTCAAGGTGCTGGAGATAAAGCAGAGCACAAAAAAAAATCACTGTTCAGGTGCTTAGACTCTTGTGGAACAAACAGAGGAAATGGTGACAAGGGGCATTAAGAAAAATACAATCTACTCCTTAAGGTTTCAGTTGGATGTCTGGATGGTGCAAATATATCATTACCTTCGTTGTTTGGCAGCCTGAAGAACTCTGAGTTAGGAGAGGGCTAGAGTCATGGGTAATTACATCAGATGCACCTTCTGTTTGTTGAAATCAAGCGCCACGTTTTCTGTTTACTCAACTGACCTACACTGCTTTTCCCTTCTGGAAGTTGTGCTCACCAAAATGGTGAAAATGGGAAATCCCGCGGCCCACTGCCAGGGCGGCGGGGGGAGCCCCCTTCTGGTTTCAGACCAATCCACTGGGGCCAGATCACTGTCTGAGTGAGTGAGAAGTGAGTTAAAGAAAAGTTACACCCTGCAGCCTTCTGGTTTAGAGTGGCTATGTGAATTTCACCCTGAACACCTTCTCTTTTGTTTTTAGTCACTGATATAAAAGGTAAATTGGTTTCTGTCTACCCAGTAGTTTACTCTCAATCAAAGAGATTTTTGACCCACTGGGTGGGCTCTTGCCCTCATTGGAAGGGAGTCAGCAAGGCCTGACTAGGCGTGCTCCTCTAGTCCCCTGGTTCCCCTAAGGAGCCCATCTCACCTGTAATCCAGCCATGCCACTCACCTGCAACCCTCCAAACTAGAGGACAGGAATGGCCTTAGTTAGTTAGTATGCATATCACTAATTATAGGGAGGAAATACCATCTAATAAAAATAAACATGCATTTTTACCTCACACACTTTCTCAAGAGTTGGCATCCAAGAAGTGGCAAGGTGACAGTTCTGAAGAACCACCCACGTCCCGTCCTTGACAGCTTTTTCTAACATCTTCATGGCTATAGGCCCTTGGCCTTGACCAAGAGATAAAGAGCTAAGTTTTGATCCTCCATAACCCTGTGTGAAAGAAAAATAAAGATGTTTAAAAATCATATTTTTAAGAAGAATCTTTATTATTACATGAAATGTTGACATTAAATATATTAAAATTTAATTATGTAGCATCCCTCAAAGGTCCAAACACATGCAGCCCTAAAGAACTCTTACTGATCAAGAATCCTACAGACTCTTAGATAAAAAGCAAGTCAGTCCAGGAAATAGTCATGGTAATAAATGGAAAATTCTGTAGGGTCTTTGATTGTTGAGATAAAGTACAGAAAAAAATTAACAAGACTTTTAACATGAGGAGATGAAAGGGCCTGGCTGTCATGCAGCAACTCCTCAAAACCAAAGCTGAAAAGAAAACCGTGAACAGATATCCTTCAGATGTTCAAATAATTATATTTTAACTAATTTGGCTACTGCATAAAATGCCCAGAAAAAAAAATTGACCCCTAATTCCCATGTAAAAGTTTCTTTAAAGAATTCTGTGGGTATGTTTGCCCAGAATTCATTTCTACCAAACTCTAATTCATCTGCAGCTTCTGGAGATGGTGTCTGTGAGTCCCTGAACATTTCTGTAATCACCTGAAGGCCTCTTTAGAAGAGGAGCAGGTAGAAGCAGTAGAAAACAAAGCAGAGCTAGCTACTGTTTCTGGGGGAAGTGGTGGCAGCAAGCAGAAACAACCCATTTAGCAGTCCTACATGGGGGACAGAGAATAATCACATACAATGTGGCAAGAAAATGGAGAGGATTTAGGAAGGTTTCAAAAGGTTGGAGAGGTCATGTTGATGTGGAGAGGGTGAGGGCCACGTAAAATGGACACTTCCAGCCACCGCCACCATTTCCACTCTAGTCCTACCCACCATCGATCTTTCTGGATATTCAAGAGTCCCTTCCATCCCCGCTGCCCCCACCTCATGCTCTGCTTCCATTTTGCACCATTCAAATAAACTCTCACTCTAACTAGGATGAGCTTTATAAATTATAGATGAGGTCATTTCACTTTGTTGATTAAAACCCTATCACATTGTTCCATCTTACTCAAAGTCCTTAATAATGTAGCCTACAGAGGCCCTACATGGTCTGGTCCCTCATCTCCTCCAGTCGTGACAGCCATGTGCTAAGGCACTTTAACTGAAGGTAAGTGCTGTGTTACATGATCAATCCTTTAGTATCTAAGAACTACACCCAAGGCAAAAGACATGTGGTATTAAAATATAAATTGGCCTAGTAAAGAGTATTTTAATCAATTAGCTATAAAACCTTAGAGAAGCCACTTAACCACTCTTTGCTTTAGTATCTCTATATGTAAAATGGAGATGTCACTATTTACTTCATAGGACTGCTGGAAAAATTAAAAGAGAAAATATGTATAACAAGGTCTAGCAAAATTAACAGTATATGCAAGGCACTCAATAAAAGGGATGGTGGATGTTTTAGAAATATCAGGATTATTGCCTTAAAATATTATTATGATTAGACCAAAAGGGGAAAAAATCAACTCAAAATACCCAATTGTGTGAAAATGCCCATCTGTTTATTATGATTTTCTTATTCTAGTTTGAATGATGCAAGCAAATTTACAGTAAATTCATTTGAATAAGTTTTAAACCTTAGACAAAAAAATATTAGAATATATTCTAACTTTGTAAGGTGACCGTAATGTATGATGGCTCTGGAACATCAAGGTTCCCCCATAAAAACTGGGAGAAGGGGCAGAACCGGGGAAGTTTCTCAGAGGGTCATTGCCCTGACCTGAGTTCATTAAATCAGCCAGGCATGTACACTGGGGTAATGATGTCACAGACATCCCTATCCCCTCAAAATAAAAACAAGTGAACCCCAAACTCAAATTCTGACTTTATAATTTGGATAAGGAGCTACTTTTTAATGTTGGTGGTGCCGTTTAAATATCATTTTCTTGGGACTCTGTCAACCTCTGGACCCCAAGTCTTCAAGGGCTATGTAAGTGATACATTTTGACCTTTCCATCCCTTCTGAGGGCAAGCCAGTATTTCTGTTTTTATTTTTTAAATTTCGTTGGCAAGTCCTTTATGTGTTTTATAATACCAGGTAACCTCATCTGTTCAGGGTACCTGGTCATCAGCAAACTTCAGAAGAGCAGCCATGGGATCCGCTCCGGGAGAGAGCACAAAAATGAGTGGTGCGCAGCAGTTACTATCTCCAAAGGCCTTGGATAGGTCAAAAGGGGGTGGTTCGATGAATGTGCGCCCCAATTTGTTGGCTATAAATTCTTGCAGCATGGGGATAACCTAGAAAGAGACAAGGACATATTTGAAACAATATTAAAAATCTGCCTAAAACATTAAAAAGTTCAGATTCAAAGCTGTTGGGAGATACAACTCAGAGAGTCCTTAGAAACAAAGGACTCTAGTTACATTAGCTTAGGAATTTTTTAATGGTGGTGGAGAAACAAAGGTGCCACTTTACATAAATGTCTTTTAGATACAAAAACATTGTAAGTTATTTAAATTATGAAGGGTGAGTTGTTAGTGATACCAGTATTCAAAGGCATTTTTTTTTCCTTTTAGTGAGCATTCAACACTTAGTAGATGAAGAATACAAAAAGCCTTAACTCTTTAAATTGTAAAATACTATGTTTGGAAAGTCCACAGCTCAAAAGTAGAAATTTTAGTGTGATTTATACAATACTATACCATCAAGAAAGAATTGATATAGCTGGGGAAAAAAAACAGAGAGAAAGAAAATAGAAGCACTGTGAAAGAAACACAAGCCAAATGATATTGCATAACATTTTGATCACATGCTTTCACATTTGTTGGGAATGTGTTTGAGAAAGAGTGGAACTCTGTGGCTTGGGAGTCCTTATCAGGCATCGATGTGGGAATGAATTTATACTCATCAGCATGGATGATGGACCGTCTCTGAGACACGAATCCCTCTTTCTGATAAAGGAATGTCACCTGTTATTTCCGGACAATGGCTCCAGCTAGGGACTCTGGTATGAGCCAAGCAAGTGAAAAGATAGATTTAACGAACCAGTATTCCCATATCTAGCCTAACAAATTATGTAAACAAATCTCACGAAGGGAAATAATTGAGTGACAAGAACACGAAGAGTTTTTTGAAGGCCCCAGAATCACTCCAACTGGATACCTGCTGTCACCCAAGGACAGAACTGTGTGTCCACACACCACTCCAAGTTAGGCTGCCAATTCCAGCAGCCCGCAACTTTTCTGAACTCAAAACCAACTGTAGGAGCTATTTGCAGATATCAAGTATCTCAAATACATGGTCTCCTCATAAAGCATTTCCAAACTTTACTATTCTCCAGAACATCTATTCACACAAGGTTTCTAAGTAAAGCTCATTGGCATGTCACAGTGCTGTATAGTGTCAACCCTGGGGTTGAGGGTGTGGCTGAGGGTGCTGGCAGCGAGAGCTGAGACACTGAAGGAATAGCTACACTTAAAGGAGATTTTTAAATCCCTCCCCAATATTTCTCTAACATCAAGCTTATTGCAGAAAACAAAAAAAAAAAATACCCTAACTGCCTGGCCCAGGCGCAATCCTTGCCTTTCTCATTATTCTTGCTTTCCTATAGCAGGTGGTGTTTTTTACTAGATTAAAAAACAACTAATGAAAGAAAAACAACTTTTTTCATGATCTCTTTCTTCTCAAGGTTGACTTTTTTCCTAAATTATATTTTTACAAACAAAATGAAAGCTCCTGGCTTCAAAGTGCGTGGTTATACTTTCAGTAAGTTTGCATTGCAAGTGGCCCCTCCTTTGTGAATACTTTAGGCTGGTGCTGGCCACCGCCCTCCCGCCAGCACACTTGGTGGGAAACGATTCTTCTGTTAGTGCTGGAGGGCCAAGTGAGGGTGCACATCGGAGAGGGAGTGCCGACAAATTTGAGAGTTTCATTTTTAATGTTAAAACTGAACAAGACTCACTTGTTCCCAAGACCGAATTGTAACTCCCAGGGTAAATTAAGCTATGCTAGCTATTCAGTTTGTAAGACAATAGAATTGGGGTTGCTCTGCAACCTGACTGTGCCAGCATTAGGTTTGTAAAATGAAATCTGTCAGTAAGAAAAATTAGACTAATTTAGGCAACCATCTTCCTAAAGGCAGAAAGAAGTATCTGATCTTCTGTTTATGTTTTTCTATGAATTTCAAGTTTCTGTAGGATTTATGTGAGGTCAGAAGAAACATACATTTGATAAGTATTTAAGTCTTATTTAAAGCTAATTAGTTTGCTTTTTGTTTATAGTTCAGAAGGAGAGAACTGTGGCCAGAGGCTCTTCAGTTCATCAGTGCCCTCAAAACATTCCAAACCTCAGTATTTATCTATTTAATATATTTCTTTGATCAACAAAACACTATAAGCTATTAAACCACATGAAAGTAAAAGCCCATCTTATTTTTCCTGCTGGTAATTTAGTGAGCATCTTTTATATTTTTCCAAAGTAGAGCAGGAGAGAACCTGGCATTTGTGTTTTTTATTAGTGGGCAGAGTTGATTTTGAGGGGAGAGTGGTGGAAATGAGACAAAAAAAAATTGTGCTGACAAATAATATATACTCTAAAGGAGAGATCATGCAACTGCTGCTTTTCCTGGTGGGCATATATATGTATGTGTGTGTGTATGTATATATACACACTATCTCATGACTTAGCAATTGCAAGGAAATAAAACCTATAGGACATTAGTCCAAATATTAGCCTCAAAAACACTGCTCCTTTCTCTGGTATGCTAATATCATTTTACTTTGGAAAGCCATTCTTTTAAAATCTTAATAGCCATCAATTATTTTTAAATATATAGATTCCAAAATCAACAATTCATCACTAGAAACTGGAGTATCCGGGAACAGCAAGATTGAAGAGTTTGAGGCTATTACTGTAAGAGCACACTAAACAATTTTTTATTAAGGATTATGGGTGTGATATAAAGATAATGGTAACTAGCTGATCACATTGGATAAGCTGAATTATGCTGTTGTAGCAAACAGTTTGCAGATCTCAGTGGGTTAACACAACAAAGGCTTATTTTTTGTGCTTTCAAAGCTACCTGGGAAGGCAGGCAGGTAGCTGTCCCCATGCCGGATTGGTGTCCCGGCCTGCTTACAGCACTTAAGTATCAACACATGATTCTACAATTTTGATGGCAGGAGTGCCCTGGAGAGTCACACACTGGCAATTCAGTGCTTCTGCCCTGACACTTCTCATATTTTATTTGGCCAAAGCAGGGTTTATGGCCACAATGCTCCACCATGAGTGTGCGCAGGAGAGAAGAACCAGAAACATTGGCAAGTAGCATTAATGTTTAGAGTCATCCACCTACCCGAGGAAAATTCTGGAGAAGATAAGGAAATATATAGAAAAAAAGTACAAGACTGGGTGCTAAAGTATTGGTCAGACTAGCTAAGACAAGTATGAAACCCAAAGTTTTACCTCAATTGATTTAAAAATAAACGAACATGTATAAACAAAAACCCCTCAGCTTGAATATCTAACTCCCTAGCTCCCTCAAATACACCTTAAAAAGAGGATGAATATGTAAAGTAATATTTGATCTATTTGGTAGCTCAATGTGTTTTCAGATTAAAATGTCAAGTTTATATAAACATAAAACTGGGGAAAAGATATTTAGAGATTAAATTGTTGCAATGAGGAAATGGCTCATTAATCACTTTTAATTAAACTTAAAACATGTAAACAGAAGTTTCTTGTTTTCAAATATTGAGGGGAAAAGGTCAATTGTACAGGCAGTCATTTTAGTACCAACAGTCTCTTCCTAGCTTGGAAAACAGTGAAAACCTTTGGAAATGTTAACAGGTTTTCTAAAAGGAAGCTCTATTAGGCAATATGAAGCATTTTACATTCTTCCATAATTAATGCTTGAAGAGAAGACTTCTGAGGCTGAACACTAAAGTGTCAGTGGAGATTCATTTTTAAAAGGGTTACTAAGGGGCAGGATGTGTCATTCGTTTAACAGTGATTCCCAAACAACTGTCATTACTTCCGGCACCTAAGAGCAGAGCACAGCACCTGTAGTTTCACAGGCCCTAGGCATTACATGGGTCTCTTTCTCCATTAGAAAATATTATAAATTATATCTTAGAATTATTTTTGCATGATTACAAATATAATACAGACTGGATTATATTTTCTCCTTTTGAAAGGAATAAAACATTTTAATGGACCCCTAAAATATCATGGGCCCTAAGCTCTGTGCCTAATGGACACTTTGGCCTGGCCAAGAGCCTACTGCCAAGTCAAGCAAGAATTACGTGTTCATTGAATAGACTATGACTTACAGAGGAAAGAACACCTCTACCCTGTATTATTATTGATGGGCATAAAAATTGTTTTTAAATATATTGCTTTTATCATCTCAGTTCTGCCTTTTCTTAGGATGGAAGTATTGTCTTATAGTCCACAGCAATTCAAATTGTGAATATTATAAGTTTTCAAATAATTATGTATTATTTTTACTTGAGTAGAAATAAAGGACAATTGGGATTATTTTTTCAATCTTTTCCCAGCAAACCTGATGTTTACATTTTTTCAGAGTATATGGATATCTCTGATTATGGGTCATTTATACTTAAGTTTTTTTCTAAAAGAAATCATAATAATACAAATGAAGGTATCGATGAATACTGAAATCTGCTGACATGACAGGGCAGTTGATTTACTGGTTATATAATTGGTTATTTAAAAAAATTAAAACAGTATTGATACCTCCTTAGTAGTCAGCAATGATGTATGTCTTAAGAACAACATTCTAGTAGCTTTCCAAGGGCCAATGAAGAACTACATATACAAGGAATAGTATTCAAGGAGCCAGAAACTCTAGTATATCAGCTTGATGTTAGCACCATTGACTAGTTTCATTGAAATAATAAAAATAAAAATGATATTATAAAATGTAAAGGAAGCAGATTATGAGGAATTGGGGAAGCATACATTAAAGAATCATAAAACAAGTAAATGAGTAAAATATAATCTGGTTACTAATTTACTGTAGTTTTTAATAAATACACAAACTTTTTGAAAAATGGCTGTATTAGAAGTAAGTGGGGTTGTTTTCCCCAGGCTCCTCCACCTCCCCTATGGGCACCCACCGCAATAGCATGTTCGGCTGATTGGAGAGAGAAGGGCCTGGACTCATGGAGCTGCCTTTCAAAGCCCAAATTTACCTTGTCTGGCCTCAAGCAACGAATGATAAGCATCCTTTGAAACTCATTTGCTTTATCTTGCCAATTTTCAGGAAAAACCTCATGATGTGGTTCCTAAAATTACAGTAGATATAATTCAATGTTATTTTGGAGGTTATTTATGAAATGAACAGGATTTTGACTTATAGACCAATTTTTAGAGAAAGCATGACTAAAGGAGATAAAGAATCCTAATGTAAATTGATTAGATTGGAGCAAAGTTGTGAAATAAGGAATGAAAAGAAAATTTAAAACACCATGAAGGAATCAAAACTAGGGCATGAATTAAGCAGATTAAATCAATATGAATGCTAATCAATATACAAAACGATCCCTATTATGAAAACAATAAATGTGCATATAGAGTTATTCCCCATTATTTCTTCAAAGGCATTTCAAAAACCCACCAACTACTCTCACCATCTATTTATGAAAATAAACATTTATTACAAAGGAAGAAGGACATTGTACTGAAATTTACTGTGTTATTTATTTTGAACAAATTTTTTGGTATCTTTTTAAATGAAGGGATATTTGAGAATGTGCACAGTAAAGAAGCAGCCAAAAGAGAGAGCTATTAAAGTATCCAAGAGGAGAGGCATCAAGATCTCAGAAGGGAGGGTATACCTGGAAAAAAAGGAGATGTTTGTACCTTTGAAATTTGAGGGAAGGCTATGTGGTATTTCAGATCAGAAATTGCCATGTACCAGCAGAGTGAATAAAATTTCCATTTCAAATTAGAATGAAGTACTCACAAAAACATGTTTGCCTCTAGGAAGTGTATTTTTATTACTAACATGGAGAGATCCAAAAGAGAGCCAGTCCAAAGATATGCAGACATAATCTCACTGTAATCATATAAGCTACAACAAATACGTCATCTGACAAAAGATTTCTCCATGCATCTGGCTCTTTCCACCTCCCACCTCTTGCATGTCATATCCAAGGAAAGCAGGTCCGGGGAGTAGAAACAAATGAATAAACAAAATTAACTGGGACTCTGCAAAACATTAGCTCTCATGCTAAAAAAAAGTAAAAGAAGGAAACAATTTCTATACATTCCAGAAGGGAAACTGAGAATCATGGTATGTGTTAACTTTAATAGTATCCAGTCAGCAAGATAGGGTTTCTTTTATGAAAATTAGAGGAGAACAATTACCTTTTTCCTCTCCTCAAATGACACAAATATTTATTAGCTTATATCTGGCACTTTGAAAACCTAAGCAATAGCTGTTTTATAATATTTTAACTCATCTTCTATTATGATTGCTGAAGCCTAAATTGATACTAAATAAAAACCTGGCATGGAAATTCAAAAGAATACTTTTAAGGACCTTGCAGTTTTATATTTCTACATGTTTCAAGGAATTTGAGTAGAAGTTCAAACAGAAGCACCAGCTTAGAAGGTAGGGATAATATAAATCAAAACTTTGATTTTAACATTTGACCAGTTGTTTAAAGCTTACTTAAATCTTATTTCTATTCAAAGAATAAATTACTTAACATTATTTTCTCCATTTAAAAGCTTTGGAATAAGCAAAGGATAAAAACATACCAAACTATCATACACTTTTTTCCACCCATCCTTTAAATGCATAAACTCCCTACGAATGTTTCTGAAGGATGGTAAATCATCTAGTCGACATATTTCATCCCAGGATTTTTGAGGAAGCCATGTACAAGGGCTGGCGTGAGGATTATCCAGTCCAATGCCACCGGTTAGCAGAAACCTCCACTCAGCTTTGTTAATCTTTGGAAAACAGAGTAGCATGAATAGTCAGAAATGAGCTTATCATATATGTAGTAAATTTATAACCATTTTAAAAGAATTGACTGTTGATTTTCAAATTTCAGGTATGGTCCTTATGAAATTCTATAATTACTGCTAAAGCTCAGTATTTATTCATTAGAAACCAATGTATCCATTATAACCAGTTTTCAAAATAGTTCCACTTTTAGAGAGCTATTTTTTGAAAATTTTCCCGCAGAATTACAATCTAAACATGAAAATCTGAATATATGCTATTTGAGTATATGTTTCTCAAAATGACTGCTTAGAGTTCTCTTGGCATAAAAAATGGTGAGAAGACAGAAAACCATCAATCTGCCACGTTTTCAATTAATTTCTATTGCTGTTATGAAACTTGCAAGAAATGCAAGAATAAAGCCTTTACTCCTTCAGAATTGAATTAATAAATCGCTTATGAAATAACCAGATCTTAAACATGTAAGTGTATAAAATAATGAATTTATACAGTACTTCTCCTCCACCTTAAAGTGCTTCCTATATTTTAAATAATTAGATTTGAAACATGGCAAAAATTTATGAAAGGTATTGTTAAACTCAAATGGTTAGCTTTGGCTAACTTGCATAAGGTCTTAAAAACATTACCATTTATACTATCACTTGGTGTAAATATATCAATATATATAGTAAATTTATATACATTTATATGAGATTTTAACCGAAACTAATTTAAACCAAATCATATAATAATTTAAGTACTAGTTACATAATGTACTCTGCTTAAGTTTTCATCTCTGAAATTCAGTCTAGTTGTGATGTTTTGACGTAACTATAGTAATTATTGTTATTTAACTATGTATATTCTCTTAAATATATTAGCATACAAATTAGTAAATTAATGAGTCAATGTTAATGTTTTTATCCTATAAATTAAAATGGTACTGACCATACGCTCATGTATCAGCAGATTTACAGTTAAACAGAAGGAAAAGAGTAGCTTATCCTTCTCAAAGAGTGATCGGCAGACGTTAACATAGAGGGAATAAGTAAAGTGATCCTTGAGAATCTGAAGCCTATGGATCAACAGAAAGAAAAGTCGATAAATAAAACTGCATTATATTTTAAAGACAATGACCTTAAGAAAATCTATTAAAAGCCATTTAGATGTATGTTTTAATAGGCTTTCTGTTTTCAGTTACCCCCCCCCAAACTACTAAGAATCAAGGATTCTTAGTAACTGGGTGCACCAAATTGAGAGTTACATAATTTAGTAACACTTAAGTAGAATTGTATTTTACTGTTGACTGATTTTTTAAAAAATCTTCCTTTGGGAAAAAAAAGTCAATATATGGTATATTCATCTACTATGTTTAAAGGCTTGTGGACTATTTTTAACTATGAATCATTTTGGGGGTTAAAATGGACTTATTTCATAAATACTGCTAAATGTTCTATATATTAAACAAATAGAGTTTAGTTTTTTTTCTTAACTTTATTAACTTTTATTAACTTTAGTTAATAGCTCCTCTATCAAATTAATGTTTAGAAGTATGATACTCTGCTCATAAATCCATAAAAGCTGGAGAAATCACAAAAACTTGGCATTTATATTTACCACCTAGACAAAACATGCAAATATGAATAATCAAAATATTTACAGCTAACATGTGTATTTTGTATTCATAATAATTCTTAACATAATGCTTTTAAGAATTTTCATTTAATTACTCTGTAAGGGAAATAAACTATAATTCAAACAAAAATTTAAAAAATATTTTTATTGCTTGCTATAATAGTTATAATAGAAATAAACAGTTGACTGAAAACATTTGTAGAGAGCTAATGATTGATACAGATTAGTGGCCAAACTACCTAAGCAGACCAATTCATCTGAAGGAAGAATATCATAGTTTGATTATGATCAAGCAAATTTTTATCTGTTTCTTAATGTGTCTAGAAAAAAATAATCTACCAGTGTAACCATATCTTCGCTATTTCCAGATTGATATCCTAGGCTCTAGATCATCCCAGCTCTATTTTTTTTCACCTGCTACCACCTATCTTATCCCCTGCCAGCATTTCCATGAAGAGAACTACAACAAACTGGTATATTCTAGTTGAGAACTCTGAAAAAATCGCTTGGTTGGAAGGGCTTTGAAACCAGTTGCTGAAATATAGCTGAATTCTTTGAAGATTTAAAATTCCTGTCCCTATTTTTATGCTAATAGGTAACATTTTCACACTTGGCATTTAATGTTTCTCATCTGTAACAGTACAATTACTATAGGGTAACTCAGATTTGGTCTTTCTAGAATAAAATAAAAATTTCTGTACTTTAAGACAGACTCCTCTTGAAGATAGGAAGATTGAAGGGAAAATTATAAGGGGCAATCATATTAGAAATTCAGTATTAGTCTCACTAGTATAGTAATGCAGATTAAAATATGATATTTTTAAGTATTTGTTACAGTGAAAAAGAGGATCAAAATGATCATTCTCAATTGTGATGCATGATATAATGAAATAAAATCATTCATGTTCCTCTGATAGAGTTGTACACTTGAATAACATTCCAGGAAAGGAATTTATGTAAGGAGTCTGAAAGAAGTGAACCGTTTTGATTCTCACCTAAACCAATGATGGGGACATTCATATTTATTGGGGCATTATTTATAACAGAAAAGCTGGAATTATTTATAAGTCTTACACTTAGAAAATTATGGCACCATTCCTAAGATAATATGCTATGCAGCTACTAAAAATTATGTTTCAAAAGAATATTTAATAACATGGGGAAATGATCTTTTTGAAATGAAGTATAGTTGATACACAGTATCTATTGGTTTCAGGTGTCCAACATAGTGATTGGACAATTATATACATTATGAAATGCTCACCATGGTAAGTGTACTTACCATGTACCAGAGACATTACAATATTATTGACTATATTCTCCATGCTATACTTTGATCCCTGTGACTTATTCATTTCACAGTTAGAAGTCTGCATCTCTTTATCCCCTTCACCTATTTGCCCAGTTTCCTACTCCTCTTCTCCTATGGCAAACACCAGTTTGCTCTCTGAGTCTATTTATGAGTCTATTTCTATTTTGTTTGTTTGTTCATTTTATGGTTTTAGATTCTATGTATAAGCGAAATCATACAGTATTTGTCTTTCTCCCCCTGACATATTTCAATTAGCATAATACCCTCTAGTTCCATCCATGTTGTTGCAAATGGCAACATTTCATTCTTTTTATGGCTGAGTAATATTCCATTGTATGTAGGTACCACATATTTACTCATTCATCTATGGATGAACTTTTAGGTTATTTCCATATTTTGGCTGTTGTAAATAATGCTGCATAAAACATGAGTGCCTATCTTTTTGGATTATGATTTTGTTTTCTTTGGGTAAATACTTAGAAGTAGAATTACTGGTTTGTATGGTACTTCTATTTATATATTTTTGACAAAGTTCCATACTATTTTCCATAGTAGCTGCACCAATTTATAATCCCCGCGACAGTGTCCAAGGGTTCCCTTTTCTTCACAGCCTCACTAACACTTGTTATTTCTGGTCTCTTTTATTCTGACTGGTGTGAGGTGGTATCTCATTGTGGTTTTGATTTGCATTTCCCTGATGATTAGTGATGCTGATCATTTTTTCATGTGTGTGTCACCCATCTGTATGTCTTCTTTGGGAAAAAATGATCTTGATAGAAGCAGAAGGAAAAAATATTGTGTGTTATGTTATGCTTACATTGTTTTCTTAGAGAAAAAGAAATAGAAACAAAATAAGAAAGAGAAAGAGAAGGAGAAAGAAAAGGAAAGATAGAGTGATTGATTTCAGTTTGGTCCCTATAACAAAACTATATCCCAGTTAAACTTTTGTTTCTGTACTTACTACTTTTCTTTTGCTACAGTTATCTATATATTTTGCTATAATAAATTCTGATGTGTTAAAAATTTAAAAATACCATATGAACCAAATTACAGCTATTTCACAGTATATACCATAGCAGTCATAAGATATGGTGTCATAGATAAACAATAATTACTATGAATAAAAACCATTGGAAGGCAATTAAAAATGAAACATATTTTTATCTTTGAGTAAAAGTAAATAGGAGATAATTTTAGACCAATATTAAGATTCTAAAACAATTTGGTAGCGTGATATTAATAGTCACATGGTTTCTTTGCCTTTGAATAGGTACAGTCCAATAGCTGATTAAGGTCTACAGGTTATCTGAGGTTTATTGATGATTGATCAATAAACAAATGATTCCTACAAGAACTCATTCTCTTTATTTTTGAATGGGAGCTAGCTTCTTAATTGGAAAGACATATTTTGCTAAAAAAAAAATTAAACAAGAACTGGCTAAAAGATTCTCTCTTGGTATACCTACTTTGGAGATCTATTTGGCAGTATTTACTAAAATGGGACATATTCATACCCTGTGATCATCAATTCTATTTCTAGATATATACCTACCAGAAATGTGTACACGGAAAAGCTATGTACAAGAATGTTCAAGGAAGCAAAAACTTACAATAGCCCTAAAGTGGGATCTATCCAAATGTCTTTGACAGTAGATTAAATTGTGATATAGTATAAAGCCAAATAAAAATTTTAAATAATAGGTTTAATTCTCCCTGTTGAAAAAATATTTCCCTTCCCTTTTTCTTAGGATATTAACTTTTGAAAACTTAAAATTACAAGTACTCTCTCATCTCTTCGTAATGTATGTAAATCCTTTCTTTTTTTCAAAATATGATATATTTGACATGTTACAAATGATAAATTTAGGGTGTACAGTGTTACTTTGATACATTTATATATTGTGATACAATTGCCATCAGAGCAATATATCATATTACACCATTACATGTTGACTATATTCATTATACTGTGTATTAGACCTCTTTGACTTATCTGCTACTTGTTAAAGTTTATACCCTTAAATACCATCGGTCTTATTCATCCACACTCCAATAACCACCATTTTACTCTTTTTTTTTACAAATTTAACTTTTTAGATTCCACATATAAATGATATTACACAGTAGTTGTCTTTTTTTGACTTATCCTAGTTCACACAATGTGCTCAAGTTTCATCTATGTCACAAATAGCAGAGTAGACATATGCAGAACAATGAACCTGGACCCCATCCAATGAACCTGGACCCCTATCTCATGTCACTCACAAAAGTTAACGCAAAGTGGATCAAAGATTTAAACATAAGGCCTTATTACACCATGAAACTCTTAGAAGAAAACACAGGGAAGAAACTCATTGATAATGGTTTTGGCAATAATTTTTTGGATCTGATGCTAAAAGCACAAAAATACAAAAGCAAAAACCAACAAATTGGACTACATTAAACTCAAAAGCTTCTATACAGCAAATGAAGTAGCAAAGTGAAACATCAGTGCACAGAATGGACAAACATTTTGTAGACTATCTGTTGGACAAGGGAGTTAATAACCAAAATATATGAAGAACACAACAATAATAACAGAAACCATCGATTTTAAAATGGGGAGAACTAAATAAAAGGGAAGAAGAACTAAATAGACACTTTCCCAGAGGACCTCAAAATGGCCAACAAGCACATGAAAAGATGTTCAACATCACTAATCATCAGGGACATGCAAAGCAAAACCACAGTGAGCTGTCACCTCACACCTGTTGGAGTGGTTTTTATCAAGAAGAGAAGAGACAACAGGTGCTTGCAAGGATGTAGTGAAAAGGGAAGTCCCCTATAAATATTTTTAAAAATTAGGTCTTTTGTCAGCTTTATGCCCCAGGAAAGTCTTTCTCAAAGCTATGAGAGCCATCTCTTTGACATGTAAAGGTCAGGGGAGATAGAGCTCCTGTCACCCTGTTTCTGTGGGAGGATAGGAGCTTAACGTTGGTCAGTGGCTGGCTCCAAGTTGAAAAACTACCTCCTGTCATAAAGAGATGTTTGTTTTTCCTCTAGATAAAGCCAGTTTGCTCACAGTCACCTCAATCAGCAGGTAACATTAGGATGAGATTTCTGTTTTTGCAGTCTGTTAGCGGATTTAGAGTAATGTGCATCACATTCTGGTTTAATGTTTATTCAATAATAAAACTGTTTTCTTTGTCTACTACCTTTGTGGAGAAAATTTCTGGGATGGGAGAGGATTTTGCTTTCATACTTTCCCAACTATATACTAGCACAATGGAATACAACTTAATGATGAGAGTGAGTAAATCCCTGAGCTACATAAAACATGAATTCCACAAATACAGTGTTGAACATACACTGTGTGATTCCATTTATATGACATTCTAAAAACAGGCAAAACTAGGCTGCAGTGCTGGAAGTCAGGACAATGATTACCTTGGGGAACAGGGTTTAGTCACTAGAGGGGGTCACAAAGTAGGGTTTCTGGACTATTGATAATGTTCTCTGTCTTGATCTGGATGCTATTTACACAGGTGTGCTCATGTATGAAAATTCATTGAGCAAACACTTGTCACAACAGTGGATGAGTTTTAACTGGTTACAACAAAGGACAATAAAGGAACCAGAATTTATTTTTAAAGCATAAACTTGCCCTAATTTTCAAATCTTGAATACAAAATATATCTTTAAATGGCAGAGCAAAGAAATTTTCACCTTTAGACTATAGCAAATACCTTGATTTCAAACTAATTAAGATGGTGACATTCTGGTGGTTATTGTTTTAACAAGGTAAAAATTAAGAACTGCACTGAAGAGCAGAACTTCATTTGTTATGTAGCTCTGTAGCTATACTGTAATTAGCACTGTGATAAGTTCTGGGCATATTAAAAAACAAAACAAAACAAAAAAACCTTTGCCTCAGAGAGCTCAGAATCTCGTGTGAAATGCTTGTTCAATTAACTAATATGATGTAAATGTTTGGAAATTTTTCTAAGAAAGATGACTCAAAATTTTGTTTCCTGGATTTCAGTAATACTTATAAGCCTTCTTTGAAAATTTCAGATACTGGAAGAAATTGAGAAATAAAATAATGTTTTCAAATATCATAATGTAAAAATAAAATTTAAACTCTACCTAAAGAATCCCCCTCCTTCCCTCTCTTCTCTTTCTCACAGGCAGACATCTGAAAAATTATTTGCTAATCCAAGTATTGATCTTATACCTTTATTAGTGTCATGTTCAAGAGCTTGTAAAATAACGAACGATACTAAAAAAATTTCTCAATCTAAGAGTATTCAAAATTTAGCAACATTCTACCATGATAAAGAAAGGAATTCAAATTCATATTTCAGGAGATTAACATTTTTTTTATTTCTACAAAATAATTCTTAAGCACAAGTGGTAAGTACTGAGTTTCCTTTGTGTGTATGAGCTGTCACTGAAGAATCTAGCTTCATGTTGATGAATAAAATTATATAGGCAAAAGTTGCAATGAATTATTTTCTTTGTTCAAGAAGTAATTTCATGTTGGACTCTGTTAAAGACATGTTTTAATACCAAACTAAAATTATCTCACTGATAATAAATTGAAGCTTTATTCTCCCATAGACTTTAGTAAGGTCTTAATTCCATTATTTATTGTAATAGCCAACAGTAAAATAAGATATTTTATGTAGACAAGAATAATACAAATAATTACAACAGGGTATTTTTTTAAACCCTGCTACTGGACAAATTTTATATATCTGTATATCAACACATGAATTTGTAACTTGGAATTCAAGTTTACAGAGGGTTTTCAGGGGTATTAACCACTCTTTCCATACCTCCAATCATAAATACATTTTGCAAATGAGAGTTAAATGTTCCTCTTTTTAGAATCACTTTATAACTCCATGTCTCTGCAAACAATTTTCTGGCAGATTGTTTGGTCATATCTGTTCAATTCTTAACCCTTGAATGTATTTATAGTACGATTATCCAAGTTCACTTTAGCTATGTGACTGTAATGCTCACACCCTTACGAAACAATGAAGGCCACCAATTACTATTTAATTTTCATGCATGAATTAGTATTAGCATTAAGCAGTATTTCTTTTACATACCTTTTTGATAAAATTTCTGATTTCTCTGAATTTTCAATAGACAGGATGAAAAGGTTAATAAACCAGGTCAGTGAGTATTGGTACATGGGCTCAATATTAGCTAAATCAGCAATAGAAAAAAACAGGATGGTGGAATGGCTGGCAATAGGACGGTAGCCCATGCGGGTGGTATCAATCTTCCTCTCTGTCTCCTCGGCAACTTCCTGCTTTTGAGAAATTTCATCAGCCAAAGCCTTGGAGGAAGATAATATCTTAATAGCAGTTTCATCTTCTAATATATTGCCTTCTGAAGATGAAAGAACTTCTAAAATCTTGTCTTCTATTTCTTTTAACTGCCTAGAATAAAACACAATTTTCTCAGAAGAAAAGGAAATAGTTTAAAATCACTTCACATATACCTTCTTTTATAAGAAACACAGAGTTTGTAACCTACAGAAACGCATCCCTTTGTGATGAGTATCTGTAATGGTGATATTGTATAATTAATTTCTTATCTTGCAAAATGTCAAAAAGACCAGACTTTCTGCTCCACTTCTCTTTCCAATAATCATTTATGTGGTAACAGAGAGAGAGATGGTAAGCCAATCTATTCTGCCATCAAGTATCTCATCCCTGAGTGAATAGAAAGTATCACTCCATTTATTTTCTGAAATTTTTCATGACTTACAGAGCTTTGCCCTTTCGATCTATGATATAGACATTGTGAGCAGAAAGTGGGATGCAACATATTCATTCAGACTGTGCTCTAGGTAAAAGAGGTAACCTCAGTTACATAATGAATACTAAAACTTTCATGCTAAAACTTTGTTGAACAGTTGAAAATGCATTGCTTTGACTTGTGGCAGGCCTTCTAGCTCCTGCAGTGCCTAACAACCTGTATGTAAGACTATACTCTGTAATACAACTTAACAGAGGCACTGTAATACCTTCTATTTTCCTCTCAAATCTTCCCATTCAAGGCACCTATTAAATCTAACCAAATATACCTTTAAAATGTTCTCTAATTCGTTCTAAGTGATCTTGAAACAAGAAAAATTACATGTTTTATAACATTTTAAACCTTTTGTTTTCAGCTCCTTGTAATATCAAGGCTTGTTTTTCTTCTTCAAGGTCCGGCCTTTCTCGTGCCACCGCAATTCCCAAGAGCTGATCTTGCATTCCCTCAGAAGTTATCATGAAGTTTAATAATGTTACCTATAAATGAAAGTATATACAAAATTGCATCATTATTTCTATTGGGAAGGCCTCTGCTTACATGCAAGTTATGACCTTAAAACAGACTCTATTTTTATAGCAGTATATGCTAAAAGTAGAATTTGTAGAGGCTATGATTAGGTAAGCCTGACTGTTGGATTAAAAAGCCACTAATGTTTCTCACAGTCATAGATGCAACACTTCAAATGGTTTTGTTTGGTGATCAATTTATTCTCATTTCATACTGGTCCAATTTCTGACAACTCTTTAATCTCCAAATAAACTGGTATCAGGTTGGAAGCTATCCTTCATATTGGCTGGACCAAATGTTTAAATTTTAAGGATTCTAATGGTGTCAAAAAGTAAAAGAAATGTTATAAAGTGAGATAAGAGAAAAAAGAACACTGTAATTGTCATGTGTTAAGTATGATATTTACAATATAATTGTATTACATATAACATATAATCATGTTACAATATGGCATATTATATAGTCATATTATGACATGATAATAAGCCACTATTGTGAACAAAGAAATGTACATTTCAGTGTTGTCCATCAAGATGAAGCTAACCCCTGCTTCATCCTGGTACCTAATGGCTCTTACAGCCTGTTTCCTACACCTTAAAATCACCCCTCTCTTAGTTCTTTCCTGAAAGTGGGAAAGTAAACATGCTCAGATGTTTTTAAAAAAGCAAACAACGAACAAATCATTCTCTTGCTCCACAATCACTTGCAGCTAAAGTACAATCTCTTTTTGTATCTTCACAACTATATACACTTATTAAAATGTTGTTTATATGCACTTTCTATCTCCACCTCATTTCATTCTCCAACCATCTACAGTCTGCTCTCCTCCCTGCCTTTACACACCCATCGATACCCACGGCAATAAATGGTAGGACCTTCCTGGCTCCGGTCACCAAGGAACCCATGCCCAGCAAACACTCCGTGGACGTTGGCTTAGGTTGAGCACGTCTGTTTGCAGTCTGCCTGCCCTGTCCTGAGTCAAGGCCGACACCTGTCTTGATCATTGCCTCTCAGTCCTACCTTTCCCGTGCTTTTCACTTTGGCTGTGCTGAACTGACTGCGGAGTCTCACGCACAGTGACAGGGGAATGCCTACATTTGCTTTGGATCTGGCAGCTGAGGTGAGACCTGTGTCTTCCTGCCCTTCTTAGTAAGAGAATATTTTCTCTGCAGGAATAGGGTAATTTTCTTTTTTGTAGAAGATTTCCTACCTGTGACCAGAAGTGTAAAACACCATCTTCTGCTGCTGCTAGGAAGGAGAGTACCTCCTATCCCCAAACCTAGGTACCTTCTCCACAGTGGTGTCCTGTGGGTTAAACTTTTGCCCCCTCACGTGCCCCCTGGTGGGACTTGTATGCCACTATATGAGTTACCTGGGCAGAATCATAAATTTAGATGGGATAATAAGCAATTCTTGAAATCAAACAATTAAAAAAATCATTAAATGTTATATGATTCCCTACTGCTTTGGCATTTACTCACTGAAAATATGTAATTAAAGCTTTCAGAGACTTTTCCTGTTGATACAAGAAACGAAGTGCAGGTTACATTTGCTTTAATTCCCAAAATGCAGTCACAGTGTTTAGTGAAATGTATGCTTTACAATTTTACCTATTATACTAACCACAAGGAGTTAGTCATTCATAGTCCATCAGTGTTGGCTCTTTTGAGATCAAGATTTTGCAAACCTAGTCATTTGCTCACCAATAACGTGAAATACTTAAGTAAATAATAACAAATAAACATTTAAAGCATACAGGTTGGTTTCATAATTTTATTTTCATTTAGATTCAAAGGGATTATAGCAGCATGGTTTTGTCCCTTGACTCTTTTGAAAGTGAAAGTTATGTGGAAGATTCTAAAGATGGGATCAAGAGGAAGTATTTTAATTTGTAAATGAGAGCAAGTAACAGCCTGTTTTCTAATCCCTGTTTAATCAATCCCAGCAATGAAAAATAATGAAGCAATAAGACACTCTAGGGAGCTTAAGGACTTGGATACTGAATCATAGATCATTTTCTTCCTCATAGCTGTTTATGACTTCTGCTAGAATTAGTTACGAGTGAACTAAGAATTGCTTATTTGTGACATTTTCATAGATTTTACTAAGAAGTAAATAAGGTTTTCCTTGTCATTTATTTAAAGAACAAAATTTTTTTAAACACAGCTTTGGGATTTTATCATTTTATTTTATGTTTCATTCCTTCTTACATATTTAAAAGTTAAAGTTAAATACTAATACCTAACACTCATAAAACATTATGTGCTGGGCCTTATTCTAAGCATTAACACAGATTGATTAATTAATTTAGTCTTCACATCACTCTATGATATAAACATTTATTATTCCCATTTGAAAGACTAGGGAACTGAGGCACAGAGAGGTTAAATAACATGGCCAAACTCACACAGCTGGCAAGTAACAGAGTTGGGATTTCAACCAAGGTAGCCTGGCTCCAGAGCCCATGCTCTCAGTTACTAACAGATGCTGCCTGTCCTAACAGGTAAAGAGGTAACACACAAATTTTAGGTGGTTAGATAATATTTATTTTAAAATAAAAGCAGTGAGCAAGATTTTCCAGGTTTTGACTTTGTCTTCTTAAAGCTAAACTCTGGGGTCACCTACCTTTCCCCAGTCTTTTTGGCTTCCCTGAAGTGTGTCCCCAACTCTGAGCTCCTCTCTCTCTTCCTAAATGCTGTCACTTTACATTCACATTGCCTACAATGTAAACCTCTTGAGAGCAAAGACTGTTTATTCAACTTGGAGGGAATGAAGTATATCATCTGTGTACTTTCTCTGCCTCTGCAGAGAGAGGCCTACATTCAATTAAATATTCCTAATAAAGGACAGTGTTTAAATTTTCTGGATACATTCTGTTTCTGTATGTGATATTCAAACTCTGAATCAGTATTTCTTAATTTCGTCTTCTGCTAGATTCTCTAAGTGAAAGATACCCCTCTTCCCTCCCTCAATCATTCACTCATTCCACATTTATCAAGTGCTAATCTTATGGAGTGCTAAGAAATGGGAATAAAAAATGGGATAACTGCAGGAAATCAGTTGTAGATTATTTCAAGTCATTTTAGTCATTGACTAAAACTTTAAACTAACTTTACGCTTTAAGAGAATTTTTATAATTTTAAAAGAACCAGTGATTGGAAACAGTTCTTTTAAGTAATTATATAAAACTCAGATAACAGCAACTTTATTCTGAGAAAGAAGAATGGAGTTTTGTTCCCAAATTCTAATGCCAAGAATTAGCATATTATCATTTATTACAAAGAGAGAATATGAATAAATGTCATCTATTTTTAACAATGAAAATCTAAGAATAATATCATTCATAGAAATTAAATTCTCATGGTCTTTTTCATCGCATACTGAAGGTTCCTTTGTTACTTACATATATGTACAAAAGCAACATTTGGAAATAGTTATAGCAATTTCAGGAAATGCCAAACAAGGACAAAATCCATTTATTTTGGGAAGACCTGTTCTTAAGGCTCAGGAGGAAAATACAGTCATTAACTGTAAAATTTGATAAGAAACATTTGTTTTATATACTAGCCTTTACTGATGTTTCAGGAAGATAATGAGGGTTTCTTAGCTTGGTAGTAACATAGAAGCGGAAGTCTGACGCATATTCAATGGTAGCGTCCCCAAGCCGGATACATGTGCTCCCACCCTGCTTAAAGGTCTGTTTTAGCAGAAGAGGTTCCAGAATAGGATCCAGTTCTTCTCCCACATTTTCTAGCAACACTGCAGTAAAATAAGAAAAAAAATTTCATGTTATTTTAAATACTGACTAAACACTCAACCGTCCAAATTCTTTCAGTTTTCTAGACTGCCTCTGCTACCAGTTAACTATAAAATTAGTTTGTCTTCTAGGAAAATTATTCTGTAAGAATAATAAGATGTCTGTGGGAAGGGTTTAACTGATAGGTCAGTCTATCTGGTCATCCTGCATGCTTCTGTACTCCTTTCTCAGTACTCCCCACCAGGTCTGGGATTCACTATGAGATCAGCCGGATGGCAGTGAGGTATACGCATCAGACACACCCCAGACAAAGCATTTCCAGTTTGCACTTGCTTGAATGGTTATTATATTATAAAAGTAAGTCATGCTTATTACAGAACATGTGGAAATTTGGAAAGAATAAAGAACTGTTAAATTAATTCAATGAGGAAGCCATTAGAGTGAGTTGACACTAATGCCATGGTGGCCTACGTAAGCAAACCAAAAATTTAAGAGTATAAATGCCTCAAGATTATGAAATCAAAACACTAAGGACAACTGAACACAAACAGCCAACTAGGCTTTAAGCTAGAGCCAGTTTCCTTTTTGTGCTTCAGTACTTTCTCTTTGCAGTTCCTGTATCTCTTTCCCCGGCTCCTGTATTAGTCACTGGTGGTTTAAGGCTGCCAGTTCCAGCTGTCTGTTGCTCACATAAACTCCGAATTGCTTAACATGCCTCAGTTTAGATTTTAACAGAAGAAATTGGAAACTACCTGCAATCAGATTTTCCTGATCTTTCTCACTCTCCCACTCCTTAAATATTTTGCATAATTGACTCATATTCATATATAGATTGGTGGAAAAATGACGTAAAACTACATATGTATAATTATTTGTTACAAAAATATAATAAATTATATTTTTCTCTTCAGTATTTTTTTCATATTTTTCTATGCACAGTTGAGACTAAACTATACCTAATTTTACATCTTAATTATTTTGCTTGACATTAATATTTGACATAGAATATTTGCCTGACATAGAATATTTCCCCATGTTATTAAAAACTAATAAACATGCTTTTAATTATTGTATGGTAGTCTGTCATATTAATGTTCTCTCATTTTTTAACCAATGTTCTGTCATTAGAGATTTGGCTTGTTTCCTATTCTCAATATTATAAATAGCACTGTATGTAAAAACCTTGTGCTTCAGAATATTTTGTTATGATTCTAGAAGGGGAATCCCTGGATCAAAGATTAGTGACATTGTTAAGGGTCTTGATACACTTGCCAAATTAAAGTCTTACATTCTGGTGTTTGGGTGTTTGATCATAGTATGAAACACATTTTGTAGGAGTCCTTCAAGGGACTGGATGTTCAATCTAGACTGGAAAGAAGATGCTCAGGGCACTGGGACAACAGGTATTTGGATCTTGATTCCAGTGAAAGTGCAGATATATTTTGCTTCTTCCCACAGGCCACGCTTGGCTAAATGAATTCCTAAAATTACCTTGTTAATTTCCTTCACTGCTAAGATCTAAATTAGCCAAAGCAGGCATGTCAGATGATTTTTAAATTCATTTTCATTTCCTGCTTGAATAAAATATTTTTCATGGTAAAATAATATGAGCATTACATACATTATTATTTATATTGCTTCCATTTTTTTCCACTGTTAATAATGCTGCAGTGAACATCTTTTTGAGTAAACTCTGTATTCATCTCTGATTACTTAATCAGGTTGGAATACTAGACGTGCAACTAGTTACATGCATTTTAAAGGCTATTTACATTGCCAAATTTCTTTCCTGAATGGCTGTAGAAATTTTAGACTTGCAATAAGCACATTTGTGTTTGTTTTTAAGCCTGTTTTTTTGTAATGTGCTGATAAATGTTAGGCATCATGCCAGCATTGTATTTTCTCATCATCCTCAAATCCTTTAAAAAGCACAGACTGTTATCACCTCAGTTTTATATATGAGGAAACTGAGGCGAAGCACCTGAAGTGAATTTTTCACTTCAATTAGCTAGTAAATGACAAAGACTTGAACTGAGCAGTCTGGCTCTTTGCACAGCTGTCTTCATTGCTGTGTGATACTGTCAGCATTAAATACTATATTCATGACTTATAGCTTGATAGGTAAAAAAATCATTACAATTGATATTTGGGGCTTGATGTTTAGGTCCTCTTCATCTAATTACATATTTTCCTTCTGAACATTGTATGTTAACATATTCACCCATTTTTCCAACTGTGTATGTTATTTAAAATTAGGTTCAGCTGCAAGTGATAAAAAAAAAAACTCAGAATAACAGTAACACTAAAAAGAAGGAATTTATGTCTCATGTAAAGGGGATTCAGGCTGGAAGGAGAGTGTATCCAAACCGTCAGAGACCCAAGTTCCCACCATCTTGCTCCTTGACCATTCTTGGCATATGGCTCTTCTGTCTTTGGCCAAAATGACCTTCCAAATGACACCCATATTCCGTCCATCAGAATAAAGAGAAAGGAAGAAACAGGCTGTGAAGATATTCCTGGGAATCACAAATGACGCTTATATTTACATCTTAACAGCTAGACCATAGTCACATCATTGTACACCATCATGACGGAAGATAGGAAATACTTTTACTCTGAACTCATTGTGCCCAGGTAAACACAGAGGGCACTGCTAGGAGGGGAAGAGGATGCACCCTGCGCTCTCATCTTCCCACCAACCCTCATCCCACCTGTGATCTCTGTCTCCCTCTCTCAGCCAGTAAGCTCCAAGACACGGAGACCACCTCTGTCTTGTTCATGCTGTGTTTTCAGTGGCATATGGTAGTAGCAAAATAAATATTTGTTAGGTGAATGAAAACCAAACGAATTAGCAAATGAAAGAAACATAAAGCCAGGGGCAGTTTTGTGTCCCTGATACGTTACATACAAGGGAGAAAGAAAATCAACTGTTTAGAGATGGAAAGTAAGGGAGACTCAGATATGATAGGTTTTGCTTTCAATGCAGAGTTTTAATTTTTCTGAGTTCACAGGAAGCCATTAAAAGATCTTCTATACAATTTGATTTCTTCGTACAATTTTTTATATGTTATTATCCCAGCTTTATTGAGGTATGAACAAATTGATTTATTGACAATATTTATATGATTACTGTCCTATGCATACCTTATTCATTGGTGTGGCTAATAGAGATCTGTATATTCTGGAACATTGGCTTTTAATCTTTTTTTTAAGCAGCAGGATTCTTTTTCTCAAAAAGGATCTTACCTTAAAACTCAAAATAAACAAGGAAAAGGGAAGCCAGCTCTGAATGAAATAGAGGCAGGTGGGTGAAGAAGGTGAAAACCTCTGCCTTCACCACCCAGGCTGCCTGGAAGGGACGCCAGATCAAAGGCCTCTGTCCCTGAACAGGCCAATATCTAAAGATAACTTCTTAGATGGAAGAGTCTCCCACTACTTATGTTTTAAAACTGTAATGGTAACCAATTCTTTTATTTGAAGTTTAAATATAGAAATAGTTATAAAATCTGCCATCTGTGTCTTTTTCCATAATAGATTTCAAACTTTCACTTCTCTATGCTGATTAATGTTAGAAGGCATTGTAAATAATCATCTGTTTTAAAAGTATTTCATTCCAAAAAGTAGGTTAAAGCAACTGTGAGTGACACAGTAAGGACGGGACAAAGGCAGATGACCTGGGGACTTGTAGCACTCTCCTTAACTGGAGATACCACCTTGGTTAAGCCATGTAACTGACATTCTCTAACACCTCACTTAGCATTATAATGAGTTACTACTGGATTTCATGTTTCTTATGGTCATAACTCCAAGTAAGAAATACATCTGAAAATTTGATCCAACATACACGTATGCATGTAAAACTAAAAATTTTATGAATAATGCTTACCTTTACTCCATGATATGCAGCCCGATACGTTTTTTTCTATTGCATTTTATAAAAATGCTTGTCATGACCCAATAAGTTGGTTTTCTTTCCCACAGTTGTAACCCACAGTTTGAAAAACAGTTTGAAAAATTTGATAGACTGATTGTCTCTCTGGCTCTTTCCTCTCTAAAATGTTGCAATATTAACATCAGGATACACAACTGAGATCATGGTTAGCTCCAGAATGTCTAGCACATAGATTCTCAATTACGGTTTAATTTTTTTTTTTACTGTGTCAAGAAAATTATTTGAATCATTAAGTAAAATTAAGTAACTTTAATTACTTAAAGTATTTAAGGTGTTAGTTCCTTCAAGAAACCTTCCCTGATTCCTCTGAATTCTTATAGTTCCTCTTATTTCTTTTCATTATACTAATATAAATACAATGCCAATATAATTAAAAGGTAATACATATAAATGACGTAGTAAATCCCCAAGCGAAAAACAACATACGTTAATCAGACACTGCTTTAAGTACCCAATATACAGTAACTCATTTCTTCCTTATACTATATGGTCAAAGTACAGATGGGGAAACTGAGTCTCAGAAAGGTCACTGAACCAAACACTGAGTAACAGAGGCAGGTACTCTCAATTTCAGAGCCAGTGCACAAATCCATACCAGCACAGTGGTTCTAACAAGGGTTAGTGGTAAGTGCCCACTTCCTAGTTTTATTACATTTAGTTACATATATTGTCAGATCCTGTTAAGCAAGGTATTTGATAGTAGAGATCATGTTCCCCCTTTTTTCTAACTTCTATATCACTATACTATAAGAATATCAGCTGAATGAATGAAATCCTAGTCGTGTGTGCATCTGTGTCCACATAAACACAAGCTTTTTGAGGTAGACTTGGTTTTTATTTCATGCATACCCTAACCAAACCTAAAATTGTAATTAATATTTTAAAGACTAAGTCATTAATATGTAAAAGTAAAATGCCTGTACGACTACCTGGTACAGTTGTGGTTCACCCACATAGTATTAGCTCTTACAGCAACTGGGATTTGCTGAACTTGTCCTGGGGCTAAATGTGTTGCAGTTTCACAATTTTCACATTTACTTGGTCAAGTAAATAGTCAAAATTTGATAGGCAACATAGATTTAAAATGTGACTGATAGCCCAATTTACTCAAATTATAAGTAACTTGTTTTGACAAATGTGACATGTGAATAGAGCTATATTGAGAAATCCCTGTCGTATTTCTGGCTTCTCCATTGCAAATGGTAGGGTAACAGCCACGTAAAATGTGTACTCACTTCTCTGCCACTTTTGTAGGATAAGCTGAGAGAAGAACAAATAGGTAATTGGACTAATGTTGTGTTAAAATACTTTTGGCATACATTGTGGCCTTTTTAATTGTGGAAGTGGAGTTATAATGAGAACTAAAGAACGACAAATGACAGAAACTAAAACAGCTAAATTAGAGGAAGCAATTACAAATGAATTTTGAGACAAAGAAAATGCCCTGACCTGCTGGAAGTATAATGTCTAAAGTTCTCACTTAGTTATCAGTAAATAACAGAGGACATTAACATAATCATTACTGAAGATGAGTCTGACACAAATACCCTTTTTAAAAGGAAACAACCTCCACTGTTTTGGGTTAATTTTTCCCTCTCCAGGCAATTCTGTAAGGTACACTTTTTATTCAAATACATACCAGGGGTGCCAAACTGGATGCAGTTTTCCAGAGTCCGGATATAGTCAGGATCATTTAATTTAATTAGATGAAGGCTATTGGTTTTTTCCATGTTCTTGATCCATTTATTAGCCTGACCTTGAGGATCTATCATCAGAGGCCACCTTCTTGCATTCCTAAAAAGGAGGAGAAAATGACGTGGGTCCAGCCATGATTTGTCTCTCTGCTATATAATTAAGCACACATAATTTTCTTACAGTTTATACTTTATAGTAGTATTTTACTTTTTAACTTTTTATGAGAAACTATGTTCTTGAAGCAGAGACATGTAGCTTGAGCAGGCTACTAGAATGGCAACTATAAAAACCACCTGGAAAATTTAACACAAGTTCTTTTATACTCCTTTTGAAAATTTTCAACTTTCTAAATGTTAAATTACATTAAAAATATTTTCTAATCTTGTTAATTAAGTGACAGTGACAACCATCAAGAGTACTAGAAATTAGGAAACTACAGTTCTTCACTAGGCCCTGCCAGGAAACACCTTCAACAAGTGGCTTCACTTGCTCTACTTTTATCTGTTATGATGTGTATAAAAGAGAATGAGAAGTGGTTGACATCATATCTCTCTTTGAAATCTAAACCATTAAAGATAAAACGGTCTAGAAAAAATGTGAAAATTATAATTTTATATCATCTAAACATCATAACAGACATGGACCCTTAAGTGTTAACACAATTGTTGACCCAGTATTTGTTTTAAACACTTTGTGTATTTTATGTCACACATAGTTCATTGCATATTTACCTTGTGACAGTAAGTTTCCTATGGACAGAAATACATTCTCTGAAAGTCAGGGTTTTTGCTATGGAAGAGCTCATACTTACTGCTTTATTTCTACTCACATCCCTCTTTTATGATAAGAATAAGACAAGTTAACCATGAGGCACCCTGTTTATTTTCCAGGGTATTGTGGGGTTTACAAAGAGTTAACCAGCATTTGCCATCACCATAATATATCCACACATAGCTTTCTGCCTGTGAAATGTAATCAGCATTCAGGTTTACCATTTTCTTTCTTCTTTCTCTTAGAAGTTTCAGTAAACACAAGTCATAATTTTGGCCAATTCCTAAAGATACAGTCATACTCTTCAAAAGTGAGCACAGCAAATTCCCACAGAGCATCAGAAGAACAGGAGAATATAAAATGTGACTGTGAAGGAAAAATAGGGACGAAATGGGATGACATACTCAATTCCATCCCATTATAACATGAACATAAGTTTCATTGGATAATTTGTCCAAAATGAAAAGTATTCACATATATTAGCATGTAAGTTAGAGCCTGATTCAAACCATGTAGCTTATATTGTAAAGAAGATAGTCTTGTTCCCCAATACTAGCCTTACATAATGTATTAGTTGGCTTGGGCTGCCATTACAAAGTAACACAGATTGTCTTCAAAACCAGAAATTTATTTTCCCACAGTACTAGAGGCTGGAAGTTCAAAATCAAAGTGCCAGCAGGCATAGTTTCTCCGAAGGCTTTTCTTGAGCACACGGCCCTCTTACTGTACCCTCACTTGGCCCTTCCTCTGTGTGCCCATCCCCAGTGTCTCTTCTTTTCCTTATAAGGACACCAGTCCTATTGGATCAGTTCTCCACCTGTATGACCTTGTTTAACCTTCACTACCTCCTTAAAGGACCTATCTCCCAATACAGTCATGTTGGGGGTTCTGTATTCAACATTTGAATTTGAGAGGGGAGGACACCATTCAATCCATAATATTCATTATATTTAGGAAGAAATGAGACAAAAGATGAGTGTAATATCTTAGGTGCAATAAACTAATAAAAGGAGAATCATACTGAAAAGAAACTAAAGGGAATAAGAAGAGAAGTTAGAAAGGAATAAAACTTATAAATATGTAAAAGTTTCATTCTGTCATATTTAGAACTATTTTTAAGTTTGGAGGATTCTGAGTGTTAGCATTATGCATCCCTAAAGAAACAGAATGACTCACTCCTCCTTCTGTTGCTTCCACATCTTTTAGCCACAATACCCATGTTCACTCTGTTTCTTTGTGCACAAAGCTCTTCTTCCCTATCCTTTCATGTTTAAGTCCTACTCATGTTTCAAGATTAGCTCAAATGCTAGGCAGTCCACAAAGCCAGTCTTGATCTCTTTTCTCTATGAACTTCTTTAGCAACTATACATATTGTATTTATGGTACCTTCATATAATAACAATATTCTACTATGGTAATTCTTTAATTTCTTAACTGCATCACCCAACTAAATTGTATATTCTTTGAGGGAATGGTCCATGCTGATTCTTCATTATCTTTCCTAGATCAAATAAAGTTTACATATGATAACTACTGAAATGTAACGGCAAAACACATCTGACAAACACCATACCAATTACCTGATTCTAAAAATGGCCATTTCCTAAGAGATTATTTCTGCACAGGGAATACTGGTCCAAAGCACCCTCTCTCAAATTCAGAGGAAGGGGCTTCTGGTGCTGACTAAGCTAGGCTGTTGATTATAGCCTATCCTTTCCACTGACTACAGTGAAAATGCTGGATACAGTACGAAAGGTATACTACTTGCAGATAATAAGAAGTAACAAGTGAATGGGAAGAAAGTTAAAACTTGAGGAATGACCGATAAGGGAGGGGTGAGTTTTTGTGTTTTTTTTTTTATCTTCTGGCTTTGTTCTGAGAACAGGCCTAATGAGGAATCTGTGCAGCAGACAGAGGTAGCAAAAACTCCAGCCAGAAGACTGAGAAAATGAGCACATGTGAACCAGAACATTGAGGGAAATCCATGTTTTTTTTTCTTCTCTTCTGTTCCTGCCCCCAGGTCAACACCAGCCACAAAACTGTATCATGACAAAAAGCAGTGGTGGGGCAGCCACTAAAAACACGGAGAGAAAATCCATCTTTCTCTGGATAGCAGAACTGGGGCAAGGGAGCTTTGCTGTGCATAGAGGGCAAGAGTATCTCAGTCTGCTCAGGCAGCTCTAACAAATGGCCACAGACTAGGTGGCTTAAATAACACTTATTTCTTACAGTTCTGGCAGCTGGGAAGCCCAAGATCAAGGCACCAGCAAATAGTGAGTGATAAGGGCCCCCTTCCTGGTTTGCAGATGGCCATCCTCTCTTCGTATCCTCAACTGGTAAAGAGCAGGGGGGATTCACATCTCTGTGTCTCTTCTTATAAGGACACTAATCCCACTCAGAAGGGCTCCATCCTCATGACCCAATTACACCCAAGGCCATACCTTTAAATGCCATCACACTGGGGATTTTGGCTCCAACATATGAATTTGGGGGACACAACATGTAGTCCAGAGCAAGGGGAATCCCAGTATTTTTCTCTTTCCTCTTGCCACTTTTCCATGAGTGTGGATGAGATTGTGCAACAGTGTGAGAAACAAACTCTGAGAGAACTCCATTATTTTGGTCAGGAAACTATAGGAAAAAGGGTCCCTAAGAATTAGAAAATGAGGGAGAAGTCCCCTGATTCTGTGAAGGCACAGACACAAGTCCTGAGCTCACTACATAGCTGTTCATGCATGGCATACATCCCAAAGAAGTAAACCAAGGGCTCAGAACTGTGGTCAGTTAGTCCCTAACTATCCCCTGAACAACTGCATGCAGAGGAGGAGATCTAACCAGCACAGGAAAGGCTTTCAAGTCTGACCTGACATTGGAGATATCACCCACAGAAAGATAGACAGAAATTGTGGCCTGAACTTTACTGAGTTGTTTAACTATGGAAGCAAAAACCAATCTTATCCAGAGGATTTTAATAGGACCCCAAGTCTCACATTCCAAATGCTCAGGATACAGTCCAAAATTACCTAACAAAGAAACAAAATGTGACTAATCCACAAAGAAACAGCAAGATGTTGGATTACCAAAAAAAAATTATAAGCAATTAGAGCAATCCTCCATGAGGAAAGGTGAACACTTTTCAAATAAATGGAAAGAGGCGTTCTCAGCAGAGAAATAGAAAGTATGAAAGGAACCAGATGGATATTTTAGAACTGAAAAATAAAATGTCTGACATGAAAACTGCACTGTATGGATTCAATAGCAGAGAGAAGTTGACAGAGGAACATCAGTGATCTTGAATACAGATGAATGAAAATAATCCAATTTGAACAACAAAGAGAAAAAAGTTAAAAAAAATAAACAGAGCCTCAGAGACCTGTGAGAAAATATTATGTATTTTAATATTCATATTATTGGGGCCCCTGGAGAGGCTAAACAGGTTGGTATAGAAAACATATTTGGAAAAATAATGGCTAAAGCTTTCCCAAGTTCAGTGTAAAATAAATTTAGTTTCACAAAGCTCAGCAATCCTCAAAAACAGAGAAACTAAAGACAACCAAAAAAACATGTAAAAGCAAAAAGCAGATACCTGGGCACATTTTAATCAAGGTGCTTGAATACCAAAGATTTGAAAAAAATATTTTTTGAAAGTAGCACCACCCTCCCCCACAAAATGATATATTATATGCTGATTACAATTATTCAAAAGACTGCAGATTTCACTTCAGAAATCGTGGAGCCAGAATACAGTCGAAGATCCTTTAAATGCTGAATAAAACAACCACCACCTCAGAAGTCTATATTCACCAAAAATATCCTTTAAGGATAAAGGCAAAATAAAAGACATTCTCAGATAAAGGAAACTGAGAAAATTCTTTGCCAGCAGATCTGCTCCAAACAAATTATAAAGTTCTTCACCCTAAAGGAAAGGGATATAACAGTGAGTTTTAGAAATAAAAGAAGAGCAATAAGATGATAAATAGACTGGTTTTCTCCTCTTATGTTCTTAAAATATGTATAAATATTGAGACAAAAATGTTAACATTGTTGGTGGCAGCTTCACTGTATAAAGACATAACACATATGACCAATACAGCACAATCAGGGGATGGGAAAGGAAACCTATATAGCTTCTACGTTTTACTTGAAGTGGTAAAATATTATCTCTAGGTAGACTGTAAAAATTTGTGCTAAAAAAAAATGCAAAGCATTAGAGTAAAAAATGCCAATAAATTAAAATGCTAAAAATAGATTATCTAAATAATTCAAAAGTATGAAAAATGGGTGACAGAGAAACAAAAATCAGATGTAAAAACAAAGAATAATAAAAT